CCCATGTAAGACAAGTCGCGTGTTTTAAATGACGTCATTGACGCGCGCCTTTTATGAATGAATCGCGTTCTTAGGATGACGTCATTTTTCCGTTATGAATGAAGTTGTATGTTCATACGCTACTACAAGAAAAAGTGCGTAATGAGAATATCAGTTTTCATAATATCTGTTCCGAAAATAATTAACATGTTATATGCAAGAAAAAGAATCAAACACCGGCTGTTGGTACAGACGGGATTCATATCTAGCTCTCGGGTAACTGTTTAGCGGAAACTCAGCAGAGCCTCGTTACCGCTGTAAACAGTTACCCGAGAGCTAGATATTCCGGTCTGTACCGGCAGCCGGTGTAAGATTATTATAGTCCTTAAATGCGCATGTAAACATCCATAGATGTACATGCAAAGTACACCAAACCGGAATAAGAAAAGAAACTTATATTCTGTCACATAGAATACTCTTTCAGTATAATCGAACAAAGATGTGGGCGTATTTTATTCTTGCATATCAGACCGGATTATCTGCCGTTTACACCGGTGCTAGAAAACTCTGTCTTACACCCCCCCCCCCCCCCATGTAAGACAAGTCGCGTGCTTTAAATGACGTCATTGACGCGCGCCTTTTATGAATGAATCGCGTTCTTAGGATGACGTCATTTTTCCGTTATGAATGAAGTTGTAAGTTCATACGCTACTATAAGAAAAAAGTGCGTAATGAAAGTATCAGTTTTCATAATTTCTGTTCCGAAAATAATTACATGTAATATGCAAGAAAAAGAATCAAACACCGGCTGTTGGTACAGACGGGATATTCTAGCTCTCTGGTAACTGTTTAGCGGAAACTCGACAGAGCCTCGTTACCGCCGTAAACAGTTACCCTCGAGCTAGATATTCCGGTCTGTACCGGCAGCCGGTGTAAGATTCTTATATTCTGCCACATAGAATACACTTTTGGTTGTTGTTTTTTGCTGTCACCTACAACCAGATGCGTGCATAATGTATTTTACAACAAAATTCATTAATATACATGTCTATGCATGATCATGGCAGAGAGGTATTGGTTTTAGACAGACTTATAAAAGAAATTTCCCATCCATCAAACTTGGACGAGTCAAAAGAAATACCGTCAATAGACGTTCTATTGATCAGTGGTTCTACTAACGATAACTGATAAATAATGGTATATATGCAAATTTGATAATGTAAATAAACCAGTCTTACTGAGTATAAAATATTATCTTAATTTCATATAGATGATAAATTTTATTTTATATTTTCTAAAATTTTAATTAATTTATTGTCCAATTAAATAAAAGAACTAATTTTTAGTGTTTTTTTTTATAAAAATTTTTACCTCCCTTTAATAAACCCATATAATAATTTGGTTATAAAATAACAACATATGAAATCCATGTATTCGACCGATTTTCTGTAATGGAGATGGGATTTGACCATATGTGCTAATTTGTATGGTCAGTTGATTCTATTAGCAGTAGCTAAGTGCATATTTGACTCATTTGCCTGACAAAAATTAATATAAAATATAATTATGCACATAAAATATAACATTTCACCAACAATATGTAAACTTAAGGGTAATTGTATTATATGGGTACGTGATATTTATTTTGTCGTTATCATTCATCAGCATTCTTTCGCATCTATCGGTTTAAATCCGTCATACGTTTCGGAACAACTCCGATATTATTCATAAAATCATAATACATTTTATTCGAAGTTTGACCGAAAAAGCCAAGAAGATGCGATTACAAGCCCCGCTGCCCTTTATCTCTCCCCCCCCCCCACCCACGTTAAGCAAGTTATTTCAATAAGCCCAATAAGTTTTAAGCCCCTTGAAAATAGACACATTTGCTTTTATATGTCACAAATATTGTTTTGTTTTTATTTTTGTTACTCTGCCGATTGTTTTACAATTTCACCTCTGTTCACTTCTGAAATAAACTCTTGAGCGATCTGTATTTGTTTCGTTTCAACTCTTCGTACAAGAAAAGCATTGATGCAAAGCATCAAAGGGCGTCCAAGCAAGAAATGTAGAAAGTGAAGATGAACTAGTAGACATATGATGACACGATATTCTTATAAACTGTTCAATGGTTAATTGGTTTTTACCAGAATGAACAGACGATAGACATTGTTCATTATGAACTTTGCTTGGCATGCTAGAGATTAGAATATTACTTGTTATTTCTTTATGATCGTGATTATTAATAACAACGGATATACATGTATACAATCATTCATACTCATGATCAACACGACACTTGTGGAATTGTCGCTTATTATGTTATCGCTATTAGCGAAGACCCCCTCTTAAGGTATCTGTTCACACTTAGTAAAAATATGATACTGGTTATATTACCATGTTGATCACGTTGACACATCTAATATGTTTATATGTTTTGGCAGTGCTCTTTCGATGTATGCGACTTTATCGAAGAAAGTTACAGGAAGATTGGTCATCTAGAGAAGCAACAGATTGGTCAGTTACGTCTAAAATATCGTCTACGTGTTGTACAAAACATCGAGGACCATACCATGAAGAATATCTTGAGAAGCGTGTCAGAAAAGACGATGATTAAGGGGAAAGAATTGGAAGACTTTTATATGTTATTCAAAGTAAATAAATCAAATCTTATTGAGTGATCCATGCAAATTAAGTGTATTGTATATGAAATTTACCTCTGAAATTATTACAAACATCAAGTGAAGTAATTAACATGATAAACTCTGCAAAGGGTAACAAAGAAATATTCAGATTTTAAATGAAAATCGACTTATGAAGCAGGTCATTATACACAAAAAATGAGATTATTTTGAAAAAAACAGGATGAGGGGAAGACCTGAAAATTTGCATCAATTGGTACATAAGTTTTCGAAAAATATAATTAATGTTTAAATAATGGATTGAATGCATTTTAGATGTTTTACAATTGAAAAAGTAGCGCTGAACATCCAGTTATGTGTTGTAAAGGTAGCAAAATGTAAATAACTTACTACATATACTTCATTATAATTGTACCAAATGCCAACAGAACTAGAGATGCAAAAGATAGTTCATGTAATGTATTTAGCAAATGAGTATATTTTTGGAAACTGTAATAAAATACCAAAAAGAATCAGTTTTTGAGAACTAAAAATGATAGCATTTATGAGGCATAATGGGTCTTTAAAATGTTCTTATATACCATGCATTGTTTCTAAATATAGGAGGAGTATTTGACGTCATTTTACTGGAGAACCAATCAGCAACCAGCAGACTTGGCAGACAAGTTAGACCCTTCTCGACCTTATTACGAGATTTACAAAGTGGACTATGACCAGTTTAAGACGATGTTTCTATCACTATCACCGTGGGTCAAAGGTCAAAGGGGCGGAGTCTTGGCACTGAGAGGATTTAGGGTAATGTATCTAGTATCTATATGATGCTTTATCACACTGCCTGTAACACATGACATTTATTTTATTGTTGTGGTGCAAAAAATGTATACAGATCAGTTCAGATGTTATCTTTTTTGTCAATAACTTTACAAATACTTTGAAATTTTCAATAGGATAAAGTGTAGAAACGTGTAATTCTAGTGAGTAACACATAAATAGCTTGTTTGTGGTGTGGGGAAATCAGTATTTTTCACAGAAAATGAAATCATGTGTTTGAACAATCAGATATTCTTCAGATATTACATGTACTAAAAAAATTATTATTAGACCAGGAAACATTCATTGTTTTGGTTCTTCGGTAGAATGAGCGGGTTCTTCACTTAACCTTAACATAGTTACAGCAAAACTGAAACATTGATGGTTTTTTTATTGATTTTCTGCCCATGCAAAGTCACAAAAAAGTCACATGGTATATAGGCACTGTGATATTGCAGTAAAAGCAACAAAAATATATCTCTAACAAAAATGGTATGATAATTAAACATATTTTGAAATATAGATCGACAGCTTGTGTTTAAATGAAAGAATTACAAATATTAGTGAATTCAGAATTTATTTTGGGCATCTTGTTGAGAAATTTATAAATTTATACAATATTTATATACATGCCTGGAACTTGTTTCTGATAGGGTTCGAACCCACATGACCGGGATTCCTGGTCTGGCATGTTCATTACTTTGCCATGCCAACATATTGTAGTCCTAAGTATAGTAAAATTATGTTTTATTGATATAATTATGGCTTAAGTTTGTTTGGCTGTTTTTGTTGAAATGGAATGAAGGGCATTATCAGTGTTTAATAATATTATACAATTTAATTACAATACATAGACAGAAATGAAGACAACATGATAAACTTTTTGTTTGTAGACCTCATGTGTAAGATGTGTAAAGCTGATTACACACAGAAATTGAAACTTTTATATGCGCTTCACCAGCCCCCGGCTTTGTTGGAGACTGATGACATGAACGAGGAAACTATAGCCTCACCAAAGTCAGGTAAATCTTCACCGACTTATTAAGTTTGTGCCAAAATCTTGCAAACATTAACCTTTATCATTACTGTTTAAGTTGTGCCATTGGGACAAGACCTTCATGTAGACCAGACTGAACTTGACCTTTATTCATAAATGGCCTTGACCTTCGAGGTCAAATATCTAAATTTTGCTTGGTTTTTGCTATAAGTGGCTATAACTTTGTTTTTCTTTAATGGATTGTCTTCAAATTTTAACATAATAATCTTTTTGGGATATACCTTCATTTTAACCAGAAAGACCTTGACCTTCACTCATAAATGACCTATAAGGTCAAATTATTGATTTTCTTTGCTTTAACTTGCAGGTCATGTTATATTCATGATATATATATGTTAAATAAGTAGAGGTTTTGATGCTATTTAAAGCATCAAGTCGCCAGGTAGAAAACTAATTTAATGATCATATAGGAAAATATCAGTTTAATGGTCCATGTATAAAAAAAGATGAACAATATGTTGAGTAACTGTTTATTCATAATAAAACATCATATCTGATACAAACTTGCATAGCAATATTGTAAAGAAACTGTTATCATTATCAAATAAGCAAGTAATAACACTTAGTTTATCATGAATAAAACAGATAACTAAAGAAAACAATAAAAGTAAAGAATTAACAAACATATGTGACTCTTTAGCATGAATTTATTTTGTGATGTTCTACCTAAACTAAATTATTATATTCTTTATTTGATGTTTTTGTCCGATATTTGACGGAAAGGGCCCAAAGAAGGGAAAGGTTTTGCAAATTTATTTTTTTATCTGTAAAAAAAGAGTTCACAGACTTTCTAATGATATAAAATATTAAACTGTTAAATGAAAAATAACGTTATATGCAATTATATGCGAAAGCCTGAAAGCTGTAGTGCTCAAAGATAACATGTATGACTTGAATAAGATTTAATTGAAATCGCATTAAAATCAATAAAAATATATGTCTAAGTCTTACAAGTTTGAGAAAAATTAAAAATATTTAGTTAGCAGGGCGCCGCCATTTTGAAAATCTTTAGCCTGGTTCTATTTTTGAGCTACCTTTAGATTACAGAAGGCTTTTGCAAAACATTTAACAAAAGCATCTTCACAATTCAGACTGTTGCTTGCAGTCGTCAAAGTATTTTAACCTAAATTACACTTCCAGTAGAAGTATGATGTAGAAAATCAGTAAATAAGTATTATTATCATCTTTAAGAACTAAAGTTACTATAATCAACATAAAAAGTTACTTTAAATGATATATTGATTTTGATAAACCATCACATTTAATGAGGAATAAACAACAACTCTGATTAGAGATTAACAAAAATGACGGACAATCTGCGATCGCAACTTTCGGCCCTTTCCGTTAGTCCTCAAACACAATATTATGAATACACAGAACAATTTTTCAGCCTAACCTACGCTAAGAAAACTAAACAAATATAAATTCAATAGTTGGACGTGTTGATAATTTTGTCCCCAATATATTAAGTTTAAGTCCACCTTCGATAAGTAAATTCATAGATATAACAGTAAACAACATTATTTATGTATTCATAACAATGGTTGTTGAATTCGAAAGTACAAAATGCAATCTGTTGACATTACGTTGGCATATTTATATAAAGAATGGTTGTCACACATATTTTAAATTATAATTGAACCAAAACTAACTTTATTTTCCTTAGAATGTCAAATTTAACATTCGTTTTACATTATCGAATGTTACATTCTCTGTTTCTGCATACATCTGAAACCATGGGGATAGAACTACTTTCAATCCGTATTAACTCCGAGGTCATTCTGTTATAATAGACGAGGACATTCCGATTGGGACATTTCTCTTATTTTATTGAACGAGTTGAATGAAATCATTATGCGAGCCTCTGGCGAGCATGATATTATTTTAAACAACAAGTTGAATAAATGCAGTAATAAACCTACACAAATATAATTTTATTTTTATCTCATACCCAAAATAAAAAAAACTGCAAAAGAGCCATTTTCCATTGACACCCTTATTGTGTAACACCAACATTTAGCGAGTCTTTACTATGTGTTTGTATAACGCAAATGGCATCACATCAAAATATATGCACGACCATTCAGTACCATTTTTACAGAGTCACAAAAGCCGCACCTGTATGTAATAATGTGTGTGTGTGTGTGTGTGTGTGTCCGTGCGTGTGTGTGTGCGCGTGCATGTGTGTGTGTGTTTGAGATAAAGCAGACTTCTGGAAAAAATTTCATGAGCAATATGGTCCTCTTCATAACAGGCTCTCCACTCTCAATCAGATATCAAAGTCATTGAAGTTTGATTCATTCTTTCAACTTATCATGTGAAATGCTATTTCTACATAATATTGTGATAAAAGATGTAATGACAGGCCTTTATTTCGACACTTTAATCAGTTTGATAAACACAAGCAGTATATGATCACTGAAAACTAAAGTCGTCATACTTTTTTTTGGATCCCATTTTATTGGCAAGCCAGTAAGCCAGAAAGGAGCTTACATATATGGAAATTTGCTGCATTGTTTCTTGCCCTTTGTTGAAGGGAAAGCAGGTAACATTTTAATGCTTGTTGAGGTCTGTTTTCTTGTTCCATACATTGCCCTAAAATATTTAGGGCTGTTTCTTTATGTGACAGATTTTCATCAGTTACTATGGTTCTTATAAGTTTACTAAGTACTTGTTGTTGATCTTGATGTCTTTGTAGATGACGATAGATCTTGTATTGTAGGAAGTATAGGAAAGGTATAGAATCAACTACAACCCAGGCCATCCAAAAGTCTCCATACTGATTTCTGTGTATCATGTCATCTTGTGTAGATCTGAACATTTCATATCGTAGTTCACGAGGAACACAGTTGATCTCTTTATGTATGAATCTGACACAAAATGCTGTAATATGTTTGATACAGACCTCACTTTGCTCACTACATACCCTCATAAATTCTGCTGTTATTGCTCCTTGAGGCTTCTCCCAGCATCTACAGATAGGTTCAACAGGATAAGAGTAATATTGTTGTTCAGTGTGTCTCAGAATTAGTTCAGCTCTCTCCATATCTCCTGTACTGTAGAACACTGAAGCCAATTTAAGTCTACTAGATGTAATATCTGAGCTTAAACCAGCTGATAACCATACCAATGCTTGAGGTGACACTTGATTATTTTCACAAATGCTGGATGATGCTAGGATAGATCCATATGAGGTAAAAATAAAAGGTGCTAGAAACTTGAATGCAGCCTGTTGTAATCTATTACCATTATCACTGAAGGTCATTAGTTTACTAACAGATTGCTTCATTGTCATAATGTTTTTATTGTGTAAATAGTATAAAACAAGCATATGACATCTACTTATGTAGTTTGCAATGTCTAAATATCCGAAGGTCAAGACTTTTTCTTGTATTTCAAGAAAAGAAAGAAAATAGTAAACCCCACGTGGTACCATGTTCAGTTTAACTTGCAGCCTATGACCAAGATCATCAATATCAATACTAAATAACCATTGTCTATCAATCTGTATTAGTTCACAAATATTTTTTGAAAGTATATGTTTTGTATCAGCTGTAAATTGCCCTGCCATCAAATTATTTTCCGGTATAATGAAATGTGAACAACAGTCATTCTGTACACAACTGTGTAATTCCAATAAGCAGTATGTTAAACATGTAAATAAATTGTTATCTTTCCATACGCTTGTCTCTGTGTTTTGTATACAATGTAATAGAACTGTTTTACACATGAAACTTGATATATTGATTTCACCCTGAGGATTAAGGAAGGATTTAAGAATCATTTTCAATAAAACATAGCACCTTATTTGTGTTATATTTAGATTGAAGATAAGACACCTTTCTGCCAATGTTGTAGATATTCTCCATTCCAGATCAGGATACACACTGACTTTACTTCCAGTTGGAACAACAAAACACCCAGTACTGGCTGCAAATCTTCTCATGTCTTGTGTTGGCCATCTGCCAATTCCTTGTCTCCCTAACCAACCTGATGCTGATTGATGCCATGATTTACAAGGAAGAGCTAACACATTGTCTCTATCACATAATCCAGGTTGTCCTTGTATAGCATGTGATGGACCATGTTCTACAGCACCCTGAATGACACCCTTACATATTGTGTTTTTCAACAATATTCTTCCACTTCTATCAGATATATGGTGTTCATCAGGAATGACAGTGACAGAAAGAGGGTCATAAGGTTGGAGCAGTTGTAAGAAACAATAACCAGGGGAAGTGTTCTCATCCTGTATCATGAGATAGTTTTCCTTGCCATGTTCCAAGTCTGACCAGTCTTGTATTATATTTAAATCATGATGACAGGCTAGTACATCAAAGTCTGAATCAAGTCCTATAGTAGTTGTACCTTCAGTCTGGCTCCCTAGACAATATCCAGTCATGTTTGTATCAGTTAACCTGTAACTGATTTTATCCATAGTCTCTCTCAGCATGACATGTCTTCTCCTTCTCATCACCATTCTTTCATTGACACCAATGTCATGTAAAACCTCTGATAATGCCAATGATAGGTGTTCTCTGTAGTCAGGTTCTTGAAACATTCTGTAAAAAGGGAAAATCGTTTCCGTCAGCAGTCAAATTAATTTTGTCACATACTATTTCTTGTTACTTATCCTAGAACAGAACAGAACATGACATTATGGAAATAAGATACTAGAAAATAAGTTGGGGTACAAATAATTGCATTTGTTTTCTCTATTGGGTTGTGGTATTTTTCTTAAATTATGTAAATTTGAATATTTGTTTTAAGAATTTTGATATAAAAGAGTCACTAAAATTAAACTCATTTTCAAATACAGTCGGCATCGTACTTGCGGCCACCTTTATTAAGCGACATTTTTATTAAGCGGCCACATAAAATCCCTCCCGATGATTTTTACTATATAAATTAATTCCATTAAACGACGATTTTATATCGCGGCCAGCGGCCACTAAATGACGGCCCAAATGTACAAAATTCAGTGTTAAAGTATCTATTAAACGGCCGTGACAAACAATCGTCCCAACGGACATTCTCACCTGTGTAATTAGCGAGTAGGTTTGAACAAACAAATATTTTTCATGGTCATTGGTCTTAAAGTATCTATTAAACGGCCGTCAATTAGACCGTCACAAATAATTGTCGTTTAAAAACGAATTGAATAACAATTGCAATCGTTTTAAAATCGGAAAGAAAGAAACAGTTTCCGATAGTAATATTTATTGTGACATATTTTGTCAGAGCAATAACGTATCACAACACCGCATTGGCACAGTTTTGTCATGTGCTCAGAGTGACCTCCCTTCAAAAAAAAAAATCGTCGGAACGAGCGAAAAATGATATACCCAATGATACCGGATAAATTGAATGAGGAAATCGTGCAGGGAATTGAGTCTGAGTAAATAGCAAATGCCATCGTTTGTAGTCGAAATAAAATCGTGAAACGTAGTGGACCTAAACATTACAGAACCGAGCCTTTCATTGCTGATGGTGTAGGTGCTCATCTGATGCTTTATAAAAAAACATGTAGTACCCCATTAAATATGACACTTCGACAAAAAAAAAAAAAAAATAAAATAAAAATAATGATAAAACTTTAATTTTTTGAAATCGGGGTAGTGTGAAAACTAATTGCTGAAAAAATCAAGAAGTTTAAAACTCATTGCGATGATTTGAAAGTATGTTCAGCAGGAGATGTGTATGAACATATTAATAATATATGACAATATGCTTTGTTTCAAGGTCAAAATGACCTGTTAATAGTATTATGAGCGTAGATCACATTTGTACATAAGTTCTACTTAAAAAAAAACAAACACATATTGATGACTTTTTTAAACGAAATGCATAAATGTAATTATGAAACTGTAATACAAATAAATCATATTGTACAATTTTTGTTTTTATATTATATCTATGACTTGTAACATAAAAAAGTCTCAAATTTTCCAGAATTCTATTGAGAGACCACTTTATTAAGAGGCCACTTTTTGGCAGACCCTTGAGTGGTCTCTTAATACAATGTCGACTGTATTCATGTAACATTTTCTTACATAATTCATTTAATATAAATGTGAAATTCTGTACATAAAATAAAGTTTGAAACTTACTTTGCATGTTGGATTTAGTAATATTTCCTTAAAAATAGTCAGGAGAAAATTATTCTTTTCATTTGACAAGATAGGTGGAAAATTTGCTAATTTTACTTCCTCTTTCAGTTTTGAATGACAATTTTAAATGGAAATTTAATTTATGATATTTTGATTATATCCATTTAAGATTTTAAAACAACTTACTATATTTTAATACTTAATACATTATAATATAAAACCTTGCTATGTATTTTTCTATTTATTTGAAATACATAGTTCATTAAAAGATTTATGTTTATTTTTTTTTTTATTGATAAAATAAAGGAAGCCACATAAATAAGAAATCACAGAAATATTCCATGAAACACTTTCTTACATAATTCATTTTATATAAATTAGAAATTATGTATTAAGAATAAAGTGTGAAACTTACTTTGAATGTTGGCTTTAATAGTAGATAAATCAAGATAAATTGTTTCTTTCTGTTTGCCTAGAATTTTTACTTCCTCTTTTGGTTTTGAATGAAATTATGAAGGGAAATAACTCACTTCCTCTTCCTTACATTTGTTATGAGAGTTAATTGAATAATGTCCCTTTTAGATTTTATATGATAATCTAAGGCTTAATTTTGTACTAAATTATTTCTATTTAAATAATAAACAAAGTATTAAAATATCATATTATTTCAAAGAGAAACATAATTATATTATAATTTTAAGAATGAAATATCACCCACTGTGGGTGATATATTCTCTATTCAAACATTATGCAGATTTTCAAATTTGACAGGAAAAGTCATCAGCACTTTTTGTGTAATTCATAATGTGGGTAACATAGAACATTATTTTATCATGATGTTTACCATGGTAACATAGACATTTAATTTATCATGATGTTTACCAAGGTTACATAAACAACAAATTTATCATGATATGTACCATGAGAACATAAACAGTAAACTTTTCATGATGTTAACATTATTTGTTTTTATATTAAACACTCATTCAAATATTCATATTATTCAACGTTTAATTAAATAATTCATTTAACATTATTGTGAAGTTGTGTACATATAATAAAGCTTTAAACTTACTTTGAATGTTGAATATGATAATATTTCTTTAAAATAGTCTAGAGAAAAAAAATCTTTCCATTTGACCAGATACATGGACATTTTGTTAATTTTACTTCCTCTTTCTGTTTTGAATGAAATGTAAAGGGAAATAACTCACTTCTATGGTATTTTAATTATGTCCCTTTAAGATTTTACAAGAAAAGCATTGATGCAAAGCATCAAAGGGCGTCCAAGCAAGAAATGCAGAAAGTGAAGATGAACTAGTAGACATATGATGACACGATATTCTTATAAACTGTTCAATGGTTAATTGGTTTTTACCAGAATGAACAGACGATAGACATTGTTCATTATGAACTTTGATTGGCATGCTAGAGATTAGAATATTACTTGTTATTTCTTTATGATCGTGATTATTAATAACAACGGATATACATGTATACAATCATTCATACTCATGATCAACACGACACTTGTGGAATTGTCCCTTATTATGTTATCGCTATTAACGAAGACCCCCTCTTAAGGTATCTGTTCACACTTAGTAAAAATATGATACTGGTTATATTACCATGTTGATCACGTTGAGCATAATTGTTTTTTTATACAATAATTGTAATATCTATTTTAATATAAAAAATACAGATTTTATGAATATTGTTTCCCTCTCTTTTTTGTGTTTTATGTGCTATAATATCAATCGATTGAATAATTCATAAAATCTTATTTGTAACTTTGAATAATTCCTCGGCATCTTTATAATAATCAAGCACCCTCATACCGATTGGAATTATCGGCTTTTATTATGACCGAATAAAAGGCTCGAGAAGTTGCTGTCGCCCTTTCACAAAATCTCATTTCATTCCATAACGCGGCGCCGACGCCAATAATTAGTAACATATAATGAAATGTTCGGGCAACCACACAATCGCTTTGGTTAGTCTGCATAAAGCTTTCTTCAGATTAGATTGCTTGAGCTACGTGACACTGTTTCTGTAAGTGGACTGCGTTCGTAATTCTCCAGGAAATTGTGACAATTTTCTGACCAGTCGACCACAAAATGTTTTAGGGAATTATTTTAATTTATCATTCATCAAGTATTTTATTTATTTATTTATTTATTTATTTATTTATTTATTTATTTATTTATTTATTTATTTATTTATTTATTTATTTATCTATTTATCTATTTATTTATTTATTGTTGAGGAAACATAATTTTGTTCTTGTTGTTCTTATCCCGTGTTTTCAAAGGACGATCCGACATTGTTTTGTTGAATAGAAAATAACCATGTTCTTTTTCTCATTTTTCGATATAAAATCTAGAAATAAATTAAATGAAAGGTTACAAATTTGACAAATTTATTTTTCTAAGACTAATTCTTCTTTGTTTAAACTATACAAGTGTATAATTAATTTGTTGAATTCTGAGCCAAAGTAAGTGTAAAAACATAATGTTTACTGATTCACCGCTTGACAAAATAACGTATGTTGCGGAATGACGTCATGACGTCACATGTCGCAAGAAATATGATTGGAAGGCACATTTATTGATTGTGACGTAACAAACAACGTAGTAACCGCGATTGAAATGTGGCAAACTTACAGCGCAGACGTATATATGTCTGCTGTTTAAGGTTAACAATACATGTACCTACAAAATGGAAGGAAGTTCGCAAAATGATAACCAACGTGTATCGAAATGCACATTTAAAGGTAAAAATATTCTATGTATCTGAATTATCTTTAAAAACAATTGTTGCAAAAAGAAGTTTCTCTGTTTTAGTTTTTTTTTTTTTTTTGCAGTTTGATTGTTTTTCTTTTTAAAAAAACAAACTTATTTGGACATTTACTCCTGCTTAGTGTGATCGTCTGCTTAGTGCAATGAAATATAGATGCAGATAAACTTAAAGGTTTCCTCGATGAATGTTCATACATTATATGACAAATGAAAATTTGCAATATAATAATTATAATTACTGTACTAAAATTATGAGAGTTTTTTTAATTAAGGACTGAAATTAAATAGCATAATGCTATATTGTATCAAATGAAATGTTAAAATTAGGTTGTCATTTAATGGTCGATTCTTGAATGAGTTGTAACATAGAATAACTCTGTTATTTAAAAAAAAAAAACCAAAAAAACATGAAAACTGTACGTCAATAGAATAAAATGGGACAGAACAAAATATTATGCTGCTTTTTAAAGAAGGGGCTTTAATGTTAAGCATTCAAAAAGTATTTGTTTTGAACAGATATTTTAGCATTTGTTTAAAGCGATAATTTTGTTAACCACAGACAGCAGATATTGACCAGACATTATCATTCAAAGGAAAATACAATGAATAATTTAATATGTATCAATCAATAAACTTCCGTTGTTTATTTATCTTTTTTTAAGAAATATCACACATTATCGTTGTACAATAAATTATTATTACTTGTTCCATGTACTAATAATTATCTCTTAAATTAGAACCATAACATGACATACAGCATGACATATTCGAATATTTCACAAGCACGCTCGCATGCACGCATATTGTTCGGTCAAAGAACAGTGCAACAGTGGAAGGCGAAGTGAATGCATGTGGGACAAAGAGTGGTAGAGATAAATATAATCTCCTGCTTAAAAGTATGAGTTATTACCCAGAACTTAACCAACACCATTTGTACCTGATGATTGCTATAAGCATGAAACTGTACAGTAGTACAATTAAAACAAAAAACTTTGATTGCTTACTCGATTATTTATACTTGCTCTGGTTTTACCATTGAGCACTTTGCCTTGCTACCACTCGTTTTTTTGTTTGTTTTTTTTCCACTTGTGTCCTGCTTAAATAATTTCTGATGTATAGTTACATATATATAGTTACATGTATATGTTGGGTAAACGCAAAAACTTTTAAGGTACCCTGCTTACAATTTTCTATTCTGAAAATACTTAAATGTTTTCTTTACTGACATTTATTAATGGCACATGTGCAAATGTTTTTATACTGGCTGATTTGGTACGCTTTTGTGTGTCTAGCTGGCGAAAACACGACAAAGCGCCAAACGACTTTCGCCCTGTCGATTGGCTTATAAGCCAAGCTTTCAATTTGAACCGAGCGACAATGTAACATTGCGACAACGTGCGGCTTGGCGTGCCGCGCTAGAAATAGGACGACAAGGCGACAACGCGCCATTTGGTACTTTGTCGTGTTGTCGGTAGCGCCACCGCGACGCACAAAAGCGTACCAAATCAGCCACCATATGTTCTTGAGCCCATAGTTATTTGAATAAGAAACAAAAAAAGTTCCCTTCTTAAATCAGCGTCCACATACTTACACAATATATTTGAATATGTTGACATTTGTCTCCTGAAACAACCACTGTTTAGCTTTTCATTATATGTGATTCCTGGATATATCGAAAAACAAAGACCCTCTTAGTCCGTGTTCATTCCTAGAAATATATAGACACATTGGACATCGTATACTGTCTGCGTTAGTTTTTGGGTATACACGTATATTGAAACATAAGCTCTTTATTACAGTCCGCGTTTATTAATGGGTATGTATATTTCTAAACGTTGGCTATCATATACAGTCCGCGTTCATTCATGGGTATATATAGAAACACTGACAATCATATACAGTCCGCGTTCATTCATGGGTAAATATAGAAACATTTGCAATTATATACAGTCCGCTTCCATTTCTGGAATATAATTAGTTATATTATTATATTTTTGACATGCTATATGACCCTATGTAAACGGTTGTTTGGAAATAAAACCCGAGTCGCTATTGCAAATAACCTTATAATATGGTCATATAACCTGTCAGGAAGATTAATAACGAATTTATAAAATAGCAAACTTCCTTTCTTTGAAAAAGTAAGATAAAACTATATAAACCTCACGATTATCTCATTAGTGGTCAATGTAAGTGTTAAAGAAGTTTCCGATATTTTAATATACGCCAATTTATATTTGACTTTATTTTTCAAAATCTTTATTTTTTGTTACAGATATCCTCATTAGTCCAAACAATGATGACATCATCATTCCAATCAGTGCCACGTTCGACAAAGCCGTATTACACATTGGTATAGGAAACGGATGTGGTATATTTATAGAGAAGTTTGGTGTGAAGAATGGCAAAGAGTTGAAAACTTCAGTGAAACATGCCACCCGAAGATTCACAGACGCTCGTCACGAGAGAAAAAACAAAGTTAAAGACCTAAAAGCAAGTAAAAGTGAAGATGTTCAAAATATTGTAGCTGAAAGTGTCGAAAAGATTACAAGAGACATTCCAAGTATGAAAGAGATTGATTGGCAGCTGGCTAAGCTAGTCGACCATCTTTTGGTTAAGGCACCAACGGATATCAAAAGTGCTACAGATAGAATATCAGACACTAAACCTCTGAAAGAAAATAAGTCTTTAAATATCGAAAACGACATTGCTACCAATGCAATAGGAACAGTTTTCACATCTGAAATTAAGAATGATGTAGATCTACGTCGAAAACCAATGCATGAAAAAGAAATTGCTGACATTGCTACACCAAATTTGATTGAGCCAAATATTAACACTCCTTTGTACAGGCTTAATGAAACACATTTTAAAGCAGAGAGGTCATCTTCATTTGAAGCCATTGATAAAGTATATCAAAATGAAATGTTAGAGATTGCTATTGATACAGAAGCAGGTTTCAGTACACCAAATTGCATTCGGCCGTCGACTGAAACAGGTTTTCCACTTACAGACGATATGCATGTATATCTGGATGAAGTATTTGTAATCTCAAAACGAGGTTCTCAAATGTTTGATGAACATGTTAAAACAACTATAGAAAAGAGAAGAAAAGACAAACAACTAAAGAATGTATTCGAAAGCGATCCGACGAGTGCAGAGAATGATTACACAGTAGAAGACAGCAATTTGTTTGCAGACGTTTTAGACAAAGACCAAATTGGTCCAATTTCATCTCATCCAATTGTAGACAGAACAGCGGATAACAACAGCGATACTTTGAATCGTATCGGCCCGGATACGTTTGGTGACATTCTAGATAAAGAGTCAGATGATTCAGTGAATAAAGATATAGGTGAAGTTGAAGAAATGTCAGACAGTGACACACAAGATGATACCTTACATATAGAATCAGATGACAAAATCGTAGACATAATAGAATCAGATGACGATAGTGTAGACTTAGAAGCAATAGCTCTCCAAGATCAAGATGAAATCGACATAACAGAAGCCAGGAATGACATTGATGATACATATATTACATACAGCGATGTTGTTGACGGTGATGATAACCTGTTTGGTATCATGGACATTTACATAAAGAGTGATCTACACTTCGACTTACACAACGTAAGTGATTTGCATCCTAATGATTGATGTTTAATCAATATAAATGTATTTTCAAGAATTTTTCACCAACCGATTTGGTACGCTCGGAATACTATTATTATTGTTATCAAGGGCTAGGTTCTTTGATTGATTGATTGATTGATTGATTGATTGATTGATTGATTTATTCGTTCGTTCGTGCGTTCTTTCGTTCGTTCATTCATTCAATTCATTTCATTTCATTTTTTTCACTTCATTTCATTTCATTTTATTTCACTTCATTTCATTTCATTTCAATAATTATTTATTTATTTATTTATTGTTAATTTATTTATTTGTTTGTTTGTTTTTTTTATTTTATTTTATTTTATTTTATTTTTATGTTAATCTATTTCAGATACCAGCATCAGCCGAGCATTGTGACCAGAAGAAAGACTTTGGATATAAATTCTTTTCATTAAAAACTTTCTTTAAATAATATAATAAAGATTAGAAAAATAGCTTTCAACTTTATTAATTTCTTTGAGCCATAGACGGTATCTTAATCAGAAAAAGTTTCACATGTAATGTGTAACTCTAAATAGTTTTTGGATGTACATACAGTAATTGATTAAACGAGACAGAAGGGGGCGGCCTAGTTGTTAAGGTGTCTGCCTCTCAACCCAGAGATCATATTTCTTCATATGACACCAAAATAGATAAATACAGAATCCCTAAAGAAAGCCCAACACGGCAAAATTGAAAATGTTGCAGGCTCAGTTTGATTGAGTATGTTCATGGACGGTACTGGAAAATGCAAGTTACCGTCCACGCCCCCTGGTTGGTTCCAGGAAGCGGACTCGAACTTGTTTCGCAATCGAGCTTAAAAAAATATGTTTAAACGAACGAGAGAGATCCTGCCATGGCGGTTTTAACAAATCTTATATGAATGCAATCAACAGTCAGCGATTAGTAACATCCATATATAAACATGTCATCAAGATACATATACTTTTGGCGGATAATCTACTCCATAAATTTGATGTTACTTTTTATTTTTTACAACTTAAATGGATTTAATGTTTTATTAAATTTATGAACCAACGTTTAGGCTTTGATAAATTCCTTTTACCTCTGTCTAATAAAAGCAATAATAATTGTACTGACATAAACATGCAATATATGAAATCCGTGCACCCGATCGATTCATGTACAGACTCTATCAAACCAAGTCTGCAATTTTCATGTAATTTGCTGTTGTTAATGCTTCAAGGGATCACTTGTTTACCAGATATTTATACATGTCAAGTGCTGTGTGGCATCGCGTATTTCACTTCAGTGTTGTTATATTTTTCTGGTTCTCCGGGATCATTGACTCCAGCTCTTTTAAGTGTTGAGGATTGAATGCCGCTCAAGCCGGTGCTAGGGGGTGCGAGGGATGTTGCATTTTTTATTATCCTTCATGTACAGACAAACCGAGTCTGCAATTCTCATGTAATTTGCGGTTGTTAATGCTTCCAAGGAATCACTTGCTTACCAAATATTTATATATCACAACAGCGGGTGCCAAGTGCTGTGTGGCGGACGTAAAAAGTTTCCACGTACTTCACTTCATTGTTGTTATATTTTTCTGGTCCCTCGAGATCATTGACTCCAGCACTTTTAAGTGTTGAGAATTGAATACCGCTCAAGCCGGTGCTTGGGGGGCGTGAGGGATGTTGCATTTTTCATTATCCCTCATGTACAGACTAAATCAAACCGAGTCTTCAATTCATATATAATTTTGCTGTTCTTGATGCTTCCGGGGGATAACTTTTTTATCAGATATTTATACGATTAAAAGGTTTCGGTCGGTTTTAAGCAAAAAATCGGTTAGAAAACTTGACCACAAAACCACAAAACCGAGGTACTAAAACACGAGGTAATTTAAGATTGGTTTTAACATTACTTTGGCTTGTCTCTGATAAGATATGATATTTTGTTTGTACTCGTAGTTGTATTTTTTCCGACTGCACGCTATCTTATCTTGTACGGCACAGTCATAACGGACAATAGTACTCCATAATCAGATATGTTTAGAATAACAAAATTAATGCGTACAAAATGTGCTATTTTATCATTAAAAACAACAAAGTAAATGTTTAAAATCAAAGAATATCTTTAGTACGACCGTATTTCAAACGTTTGATGCGATCATTAAGTCTACGTTTATACAGTTATAATTTTTGCAAACCGTAACCACCCTAAAATTTGTGGAGATGAGATTAATCAATTTTAGTTAAGTTAAAATAAACTTATGATATTTAAACGTATGATACAAATTTGTTCTCATAATCTTTGTTTAACTCGATATATGATATAAATTCGCTAGATATGATAGATAATTAGATCTTGGACAAATCAATCAGGAAACCTTTTCCAGGTTCACAATCCGCACAGTTTTAAAGGCGTTTAATGTTTTTATTTCAATAGCTTTTTATTTGGACGTCGTATGCAGTTGTTGTATGCGCATTGAATTTCAGGCGATTTTATGCGTTCCAGGCTCTAAATGTATTCATAATATATGTCTTAATTTGTTATTTGTGTTAGCTGCTGTATATTTTCTTCTTTTAATACAGATTCGATGTTTTTGTTTTATTTGTATCTAGTCACTAGTTTAATTATGACGTTCCTGTTGTAATATGCATTTACGGTTTCGTATGTTACTTTAAGTCTTCATTTCACTCTGTCTATTTCCATATTTGTTTTGTGTCCCTTATGACTGTGTGTGTAGTTTTAGTATGTTTTGTTAATATGTTTTTTTATATTTCATATGTTTATTTTATGTGTATTTAGTTTGTCCATGTTTGGTGTATTTCTGTGTATCCGTCCATTTAGTCTGACCATGTACGTGCATTTCTGGTTTACTACGTCCGTGTATGCGTAATTATGTGGGTTTTTTTTTCGTTAACTGTCCATGTATGGGTCCGTCTTTTCATGCCTGGTTTAGTATGTCCATGTATGTGTCCGCCCTTTGAGTTTGTCCATGTACATGAATATTTCTAGTATGTGGCCGTCGCTCTTGTTTGTCCTGTTTAGTCTGTACATGTACGTGTCCGTGTAGTCTGTCCATGTCTGTGTCTGTCCGCTCTTGTCTGTCCATGTCTGTGTTAGCCGCTCAAGTCTGTCCATGACTGTGTCCGGCCACTGTCGTCTGTCCATGTCTGTGTCCTTCCGCTCTTGTATGTACATGTCTGTGCCCGTCCGCTCTTGTATGTCCATGTCTGTGCCCGTCCGCTCTTGTATGTCCATGTCTGTGTCCGTCCGCTCTTTTTTGTCTATGTGTGTGCCCGTCCGCTCTAGTCTGTCCATGTCTGTGTCCGTCCGCGCTTGTCTGTCCATGTGTGTGTTCGTCCGCTCTTGTCTGTCCATGTATTTGTCCCTCCGCTGTATCTATTGTTGATAAGTTTTTGTATGTGTATACTTGTGTTTTTCCGTTACTTTGTTGTTGCGTTAGGTCTGTATGTATCATTTGTATGTTTTCAACCGTTCAGTCTCTAAACCTGTATGTTCCGTTCAGTCATTTAGTATGTTCAGTCTTGTAGTGGAGTAGCGGGGGATCGAACTCCCTTGATTCGTAGACAGTCAGTGTTACCACTGCACCACAGCGCCCGCTCTGATTTATAACTGTTTTGGAAACTCCTATATACATAATCACTTCAATGGCTAACAAATAAGTTGTACAATTAAATTTTAACACCTTAATAATGGTGGCCAACCCGCGTGACATTTGGGAATAAAGAGAGACTTTATTTTGTTGTGACTGGATAAATTTTATGTAAAAAAACACTCGGAATTCTTAGCTTCAACAGAAGGCGTTGTAATCCCCTGCATACTTTTGTTAATTTTCCTGAAAACACAATTTAGTTTTTAAGAGCCGCTATGGTGTCATAAACACACGTACTAAAATTATTCCAGATAGGGTCAATATGCAGATAATGAAACGTGAAGGGTCCTATTAAAAACTTGTCTTGGAATACGATGTAGAAGTTTTAGTAATTTGAAAGAAAATACATGTACATAATTATAATACCGAACTCTGCAAACTGAATCAAAGCGCTCACAGCACTTAATGCAACGGACAAGAATGCCAAACTTAAAGGCACATTAACCTCCGGAAATAAGGCAATTTTCTCATTTAGAAAGGGCTTCTTTGTATTGTTTCTTTTTCGGAATTGTACATCACGTTGCGTATGCACTGTATTTCAATAACATGTAGTTTGTTATTACGATGTTAAAATTATACAACATAAAATATCGGGACTTACTCTGTAAAGAAGCTATCCTGCTAGCTGACGGAATGTCGGTTGTCCCATTCAGGTACCCGCTCGTGTTGGAGGGGCACCGGAGGTATTCTTCCACTGTAAAGTTTTGTTATTTCTATATGACTATTTCATTGTCGTAGTGACTTAAAATTCCACAAAAACAAACAACCAAAAATGTAAGAAATACTTTTTGCATTTAAATTTTTATTCTTACTTCAAATATTTAAGGTAGAAAAGTACATGTACACAGATGATTGATGCTTGATAAATCAATAGTAGACTGTAATGTTCTGTTGACGTCGACGAAACGTGTATGTATGTATTCTAGGCTTAATAGACATGTCTCTACCAAAAGGTGACCCATAAATTTTGAATTCAGTAATTCACTGAATGATACAAAATATGTATGCAAATCGATTTTTTGTGATGATACTATTCTGATGCACGGGAGAACAAAAAATTAATGAGACCATTATATGCATCATGGAGAATAAGGCGTTGCTGCTAAAATAAATGATCATATCTTTCAGACGAGCTTATAACTGACTGATAAGGTACACAACTCATACTGGTACCTGCCATGTTTTCCGTATGCATGGCCGACATACTGGAGCATTTTTTTCTGTTTTTTTTGTGATGAGACTTTCTGTTTACTGATTTTACTTTTTAATGTTAAATCGATGTTGATTGGCAAAATTATTTCAATTACCGTTTCATATATATAGCATTGTTTGGTTATAGTTAAATAAATCTTCGATTTCATATTCGTTTATCAATTGTGATATTCTTTGAGTATAATTGTGGCATTTTACATTGTTCTTTGTTATCTTTTTTATATACATGCATGAAATAGGGACTTTCTCCTATTTCATCATTGACTGGCAGATTATCTCACCAATATTTAAGCGGACTTTTTTATCTTTGTAAATCAAGTTTGAGTGTATAAGTCTCCACATGTAATTTTTCAGTGTTAACTTAAAATTTGTAGACGGAAATGCACATTTAACTATGTGCAGTGCAATGCTACCATACTGTATTTAACTTAATAATAATGTTTAATAAATCTTATGTTATTTTATCTTTGTCCCATTCTTTGCCGCGTATTGCTTTCATTACATGGCATCGTATTATCAATTCATCAATATGGGACTTCCACGCTAGGTGTTTGTCAATCGTCATGTCTAGGAATTTAACAGTTTTTGACACTATAATTTAACATTTCCTACATTAATTTTGGAAAATTTTGATTATTAAATTCATTTAATGAGTTTTTGTTTGAACTTTTTTCAATAAAAATTACTTTATAATTCAATGATAAACTTCATTTTCTTAACTGCTAATTGTTTAGATCCAGAAATTATCCACGCAGCAAAATCATCTACAAATTGTGATGCTCGTTTATTTATTGTTTTAAATGGTTCTATGTTTCAATAAAGGCATTCATGATTAAACTAAATATTGTACTTCTCTGTTGGCAGCCATTCACCGTTTCGATTATTTCTGAGTATGATCGAGTCGTGAAATCAAACTTTAAATTTAATGGTTTTTTTAGCAAGAAAATCTTTTATCCATCGAAGCATGCGTCATCGTATTCCTATTTTGTCTATGTTATCATGCAATACCAGCTCCCATCCATAACTAATCAAATGCATTGCTTATATAATCAAGAAATACGGCTATTAAATGTTCGTTATCATTAATTGCCCTACAACATTCCGCTTCATGTTGAGTAAGATTATCAGCATAGGAGTGGTGAGATCTACACCCAACTGAGTGACTGAGATTAAGTTATTGTTTTCTAAATGATTACACAGTCTAGGTTTAATCAAGTTGGTTTTTTTCATTAATTTTGAAAATGGTGATGTTACTGATAAAGGCCCCGCCGGGTCATTTTTAACTTTATTCGACTTAAGGAGCGGTATAATTATATAGCTTCTCCAGCTTAAGCAAGGAGGTTGTTCCACCTTTCCACAATTTGTTAAACAGACTTAATAAAGTTAATTTATTTCATCGGGGAAATTATTTATGGTATCATGATGTATTTCGTCTCCTCCGGGGGCTCCAGATTTACAATTTATAAGTGCCTTATTCATTTCCCTGTACTTTGTGCATAATAATTTTTGTATATAGCGTTTTCGTATTGTTTAACTATAGCGTTCGTCTTTTCTTCTGAATCTGTTATAATTGATTATTCTATTATTTATTTGGAAAGCCAGCAATTAAAGATAATCATTCTTTTCCTTTATATTTCTTATAAATTCCCACAAATTCCTTAGAGTTGGTTTTATACGTGATCTTAATGCAGAATTGTTATCCACGATTAACGTTTATGTAGCTTGTTTAATAGTTTCTATTACCGCAGATCTAACATTTTTCCATAGTCCATATCTTATATGTGTGCTTTAAGCTTTATGATCTCTTCTCTCTTTTTTTGGGGTTCTTTTAATTTAATAGCTTGTGTGCATTCATCATTCACCATAATTTAGGGGTTTGGTATATTTTAGTATTGGAATTAGATTTAGGCATTTCTGTGAATATTAAATATTGAAATATTTTATATTTCGATCATAGTTTAATTCTTGTCGGCATAAATACCTAATGTTAGTCCATTGACTTTCTGTAGCCTTTTTAAGCCATTTTTCTAATAATTTAATATTACACCTATTAATTTCAATGTTTTAGGTAGGGGGTCACTGCCAATACTATCGTCTTAAACTAAAAATTCTGGAATTAATAAATAAATTTGATGAAAATTAATGAAAGCTAAATCGCTGAGTCTATGTTGGAATCGTAGATACTAATTCTCGTTACTTGCCTGTCATTTAAATAGCTAAGATTATAGTCATTTGAAAATTCTTGCAGTTGCTCAGACTCTGTCATATTAATTAGTCTAGCTTGAATTTAAATTAGTTAGATCTACAGTCATACAGATTTATATATATACGCTACCACAATCAACATCTAATTAATAAATGAATGATGAACATACATGTAAATGTTAGCCATATGCGTGCTTATCAGTACACAGGGGCGTGTTTATCAATACTGGAAACTGATTGGTCACTTCAGACAATAAATAAATATTTATTTCATTTTGGGTCGGAAACCAATTAGTGCGAAACGTATTGAAGATTCACTCGAGCAACCACATTTGTTTATACTTATTTACTTGTAGCAGTACTCCACTTTTAAAAGGAAACTATAATAGGTAACCGGTTTTATTCAACTCAAAATAAAAGTAATCATTTCATTAGTTTATTATATTTTTTATTACGAGATGACGTTCCAATATTACATTTATAATCTATTTTCGCGATACACATTCTTTTTTTACGCGTTACACGGAACTCATTAGAATCACAGACACTTAGGGTGTGGAGCTCAAAATACCTTTAAAATCCAGATAAAATGTATATTTGTCAATCCCAGCACATGTACTGATCATATATATTTTTATATATAAAAAAATTAATATTAACCGTTTTGAAAAAAGTTCATATATAAGTTTTCAACGTCTATAACTGTATAAGTCTATAATAATTACACAAGATAATAATCTTCGCCGGAAAAAATCCACACACCTACCGTCAAAATCACCCATGTATTTTATTCCATTTCCAATATTTTCATATAATCCTTTGTCCATTGACACAGAAGATAATATTCTCCAAGATGATGGTCAATTTTAAACTTCAATGGTAATATAAACAATGCGTCAAAATAAACATCAAGATTATCGCATTTTACTCCATTTACAAAATCTTTCGACAAATTTGAATGACTGGCTCCCCAGCTTTGCCGTATACAAAAATACAAGTTGCTTTGAGTTATGGGAACCAACATAATACCGAATGGCTCTGCCTATAGCCGACAGGTCCAACTTCACTCTCATCTTCAAAGCGCAGCGGTACCAGCACCATTCCCAAAGCAGGGGAAAAAACACCTTTGCATGTTAATTATTCAAAGATGTTGATATCAGATAGATTTCCCAAGACAGTTTAGTAATACACACGAAATGTTGACAGTTGACACTTATAAAAATCCAACCGAGTGTGGAGACATTTACTTTTATTATAGATGATTATGTTTTTAATAAATGGAAAGTTACTTTTATTTTTGTGCCCCCACATTAGTGGCGGGCATTTAGATTTACCCTTGTCCGTCCGGCCGTCCTTCCGTCCGTCCGTCCGTTCACTTTTGTGTCGCACGTAACTCAAAAGTATTTGACCTAGAGTCATGAAACTTTATAGGAATGTTGATCAGCATGTGCAGTTGTGCACCTGGGTATTTTCGTCTGGATATTTTTAGTATTTTCAGAGTTAGTGCCCTTGACTTAGTTAAATTTTGCAATTTTCAACTTGTGTCGCATGTAACTCAAAAAGTATTTGACCTAGAGTCATGAAACTTTACAGGAATGTTGATCAGCATGTGTAGTTGTGCACCTGGGTATTTTCGTCTGGATATTTTTAGTATTTTCAGAGTTATTGCCCTTGACTTAGTAAAATTTTGCAATTTTCAACTTGTGTCGCACGTAACTCAAAAAGTATTTCACCTAGAGTCATGAAACTTTACAGGAATGTTGATCAGCATGTGTAGTTGTGCACCTGGGTATCTTCGTCTGGATATTTTTAGTATTTTCAGACTTATTGCCCTTGAGTTAGTAAAATTTGGCAATTTTCAACATGTGTCGCACGTAACTCAAAAGTATTTGACCTACAGTCATGTAACTTTACAGGAATATTGATCAGCATGTGCAGTTGTGCACCAGGTATTTTCGTCTGGATTTATTTAGTATTTTTAGAGTTATTGCCCTTCACTTTTAAAATTTTTTGCAATTTTCAACTTGTGTCGCAAGTTTCTCAAAAAGGATTTGACATAGTCATTAAACCTTATGGGCAGGTTGCTCAGCATATTTTAGATTTGCACCTGGGGTTTTGCTTGTGGATTTATCCAGTATTTGTAGAGTTATTTCCCTTGAATTAGTAAAAAGATTGACAGAACAGTGGCGCGGTGGGGGCACCCGTGTCCTATGGACACATTTCTAGTTTGGTCTTAACACTATCACATGTACATTGATCTGTGATATATATATTTTGACACCTGTGTCAAATTCAATTGAGAGCCTTCAGTGACTTTTTGACTAACCAGTGAATGTCCCACGCCGTGAAGATTCCTCAGTGATGGTTCTGGCTCCCAAAACTTTATAAGTCGCTTTTTTAACATTTTTTCTTTTGTCTGATGCAGAATTGTCACAGTATAAAAATGGGTATGCTGAATACCTTATGCTACCACAGTGAAATGGGTATGCTTTACTGTATCATAATATTTACAAGTTGTAAATATTGGTATACTAGGTTATATACTGCTATTTTAGATTTAAGAATTAACCATTTTTGCCGGGCTACTATTTAAATGCTATAGACAAACATGTTCTCTCTTTTGTTGTATTTGTCTGTAAGATCACATGTTTGTTTATATAGCATTTTTTCAGGGCTGGCAAATCTGATTTCAACATAGTTGTCCGTTTTTATCACTTGTCTGTTTGATATTATTATTGTAAATTCTTGAAAAATTTTCACTTGTCCGTACAGACTGTGGGACAGCCTTGGAAATAGGGAGAATTGATTTTGCTGTCCCTGGTTACCTATCCAATGTTTAAGCCATTAACCTCTTTTAAGGATTTATCCTGCTTTGCAAGCTTGTACTTCCATCTGATGAAAGTCTAATCTATCCAGTGTTTAGCCCTTAATCTGCTGTATTATGTAATTGGGATTTACCCTTTGATATTGGAACAGTTCATTTGAAGTTTCAGGGATTTTAGTATCATAATGCACAAAAAAAAAGATAAGCCAGTGTTTTTTTTCACCAAAATATTCGGCGAAATTCTCCCTATTCCCCCCTCAAAATAGTATGTTTTTTTTCCCCCTCAAAGCTGAAATTTCCCCCTATAATATGGCAGCCCAAATCTGCCTGCAATGAATATCATTTTTTTGCAACTAACTGCCGGAAAATGCTTTATTTTAAGCCTGTAAGACTTACTGTTAAGCAAGGTTTTTCATATAGGTAAGGGGAGCTACTCCTGGTATCCCAACAAGTTTATCATGTGACACATCAATATTTTAGATCCGTATAAAAATCCCCCTCCTATTGCATTTTTTCCCCTCCAATAGGCACCGACCCCCTTCCCCCAAAAGTGAAAAAAAAAACACTGTAAGCTACCAACAGTATAGAGCCTGGTCAGACTATACAAAAGTGCTGGCAGAAGATCAACATTATCTGTTCCCTAGTATTTTTGTAATATAAAGTGTCTTGATTTATTTAAAGAACTATTCCACATTCAAAGCTGTATATTCTATTGCTGTAAGGATTAATAAACAATAGACTATAGGCAAGTCCATTCTTGAATTTTAATATCATTTAAACATGCTTGAAATCTCATTGTAAACTTTTCTTCAACTTTTTCTCATATAAATGTATTGTTTTGCAAATTAATGAAAGGCTGATAAAAAAATATAGGTCAGTAAATTATCAATTTTTGCATGGATCGGATGTTTTGTATGTATATTTTAATTTTGACAAAGTTTAAATGAACAGATAAATTCTTAAACTATAAACCTAAAATAGTTTGATACTATGTGGTGATTGGTGGAAAAAGATAGCGGTAGGGTTTACAAACTTAATTCTTTTATTGATTTATTTAATATCAATTTGGTTTAAGATAAAAAGTTAACTCTTATGTTTTATTGTACTCTTGTACTCAATCACAAGGGCATATCATCACCTTAGTACAGTAATGGGTAAAGTCCTTCTAAATTTAATAGGAGTTACCAGTTTTTGCACAACAGTCACAAGCATAATGACTGTAATAATATACAGCTTTACTTATTTGGTTTCATAGCTACGAAACTATTAATGTCACCTTATTGTTATACCGTTGAAATTTTATAGGTATTAACCAGGTACTGCAATAAGGTGATTCAAGGTTATTTACATTGTTGATATCAGAGTTATTGGTTGTTAACTTATGGCATCTACCTCTTAACCCAGGGTTTGTGGGTTTGAACCCTGAATGAGCCGGAGCAGTGTGTTCTTGTATGACACTAGAACTGGTTACCACTAGTTCCAGGAAATAGACACTTGAGTGATTCAAGTTTGTCTCAAACTATTATTGTAAAGTAATTAATATAAATATGCTTAAACTTAAGAGTTTCCATTCTTTATGATAACTGCAGATTCTTGTCATTAGCATTGTCAGTACATTGTCTTGTTTTAACTCTAGCCTGCTAATGGCAACTGATTGTACCCATGTGATCAGTGCAGACTAAGATATGCCAGCACATTTGTGCCCTCTGATCATGATCTGCATTGTTTGCTATTCAAAATTTTCCCTAAAAATGATGAATGGTTTGATCCAGATTGAAAGATGGACAAGTCCATTTAAGAAAAGGTTAATTAATGTAAACTGCTGATAGTAATAAAATGAGAATATTTATCTTGTATTGATTTAAAGACTGAAGATGAAAGTAATTAATTTGTAACAATTCTACATACCAAAGAAGAAAATTAGTTTATGTACCACATGTACATAAAAACGGTAAATTGTCTCAAGCAAGGTAAATGTAATTAGTTTGTATTGAATTTATTTTAGTTTGAATATAATTATATGAAGTTGTTATAGACACAATCTGAATCCATTCCTTGAACCAACGAGTACTGAGCAGTAAGTAAAATTTCTGGCTCAAGGAAACAATTGCTTTCCCTTGACGGGGTTGAACCAACACAGCTAGATTTCGATTATAAATTGTAGGTTTACAAGTAAAGTTTCCTGTTACAAAAAAAAATATTCAGCTAGGTTACAAAAGGATTGTGGTTTCTACTCTAATGCTAGAAAAGTTCGAAAGTCATGTTCTGACTTTAAAGCAGCACGCCTCCAGATTCATGCTAATTTTCATGAAAATTTGAAAATGTATTAAAATAGTAAAATATTGTCAAGCGAACAAAGAAAATAATTTCCACATGGCAAACAGCACTTAAAGTTCATGTAAATAACCAAAAAGAGGTAAATATTCCTAAAATAAGCCTTACTGTGTTAGTAACACAGTAGAAATATGGTGAAAAATACTGCAAAATCTGCCATTAATCGCAAATAATGAAGAAATTATATCTTAATTTAAATGTTTTTACTTTTCTTAAAATCTCAGTACTTTTTTCTCAGTTTTCATTGTCTTGAAATATTTTGGGTCATTTGTAGTAACATTTTTGTCAATGTGACTTAAAAACCAGACCAGTAACTGGTATTTTGGGAGAAAATTGTTATAAGTTTTTAAATTCTTAATCAGTTTTAATTGAGAATACATGTAATGATAGTAAAACTTTTTCCAGTATATATGTTTATGAACTTGGTCTGTTGACACAAAAGTCTAACATGCCATGCTAAAAATTTAATTTTAAAGGAAGGCCTTAACAAAGATAATTTTAAGGCTTGCCTTACTGTATGGAACACCTTGATTTTGTAGAATAGATTTTCACGTTGGCGTTAAGTTTATAAACTGAGAAAGATAAAAAGACTGCAAGCTGTGCATACAATATGGCATCATTTGACAATTAGCGAAAACATTAGATTGACAACAGACAAAATAGATATACTTAAGTTTCAACCATGTGTTTACTAGTAATTAATATGATGGAAAATTCTGATTGATCACACACCCTGAAATGGAAATTTTTTTATGGTTTTATATATCATAAATATGATGCTCAAATGAAGATTTATCAATATTGTAAGTTTCAAAAAGCATTATTTGTAGAGATATTACGGAATTTAATATTTCATGTAAATAAAGGGAGGTAATTAGAAATTTATTTTGGATATAGTCTAAGCAAGATTTTTTCAATAAGAAATGAATTTATTAAGTTGAATGTTTAATTAAAATGTACATAAACATTTGCTGTACATATTTCACATATTTGTAGATGTTTAGAAATTGTTTTAGAAGAATAATTATATACATATATAAAACTTCACTAATAACTTCTACCAGCCCGCATAGCTCAATCGGTTAGAGCGCGAGACTTGTAATCTCGACATTGTGGGTTCGATTCCCGGGCTGGCCAACTAAAATTACTAATCAGTCTTTCGGATGAGACTTTAAATCGAGGTCCCGTGTATGGGTGCTTAAACACTTGGCACGCTAAAGAACCAGGAGAAGCTTCTGGAATTGGGGCATCTTTTAGTATCTGTAATTGCACTATCCTCCGAAAAATAAAATGACTAATACTCTTCTGGAGGGCTCGCCCATATGGGCAACCGGTGGCGAGTATAAATAAACGCAAATACACACACATGTATGTTACATCCTTTATTAATTACAACATACAGGATCTTTAATTAATGCAGAATATGAAACGAAAATGCTCATTTTACTAATTATCTACAGGGGGAAAAGATGACCTGTACTGTAACATATTATATAGTAATATTAATAATGATAGCTAAAATTGAACAATGTACTGCGGCAATATTAATAAAAAGTTTCACATACATTTGCCTCAAGTTTGGGCGTTAACCCTTTTCCTCATATAGACGTGTTTTGACAGTTTTCGACTCCCCCCCCCCCTTTTTGAGGCCTCAAAATGCCCTAATTTAGGCCCCAAACACTGCTGCAATTTTTGTTTGAGAAATGTTGTTGGCGCCAGCTCCTAACCCCCCCCCCCCCCCCCCCCCCAGGGGTTGCTGGAACTTGTAACAGGAGGCTTTTCAATGAAAAACGGCCATTTTTCACAATATGCTCATGAAGGAAAGGGTCAACCAATGTCACATTACTTTCTTTACATCAGTGGTATTAAAGACTTTAGAATATAGAATGTTCTTTTAAAGGCAGGTTGGTAACGCCAGGTCTTACTGTATAATGATGCAGTCAAGCTTTCATTATAATAAAGGCTGACAAGAATAGGGCAATAACCACACAGTTTATTTAATATTGGCCACTAAATACAATGTAATGTGTTACTATTATTTAACATTTTTTTGATAGTTAACCTTTTATTATTACTTTTATGCCAAGTAGTTTGAGTGTCATATCATTATGTAAAATGTTAACATTATAAAAGTATTCATTGAACGTTTTTACAGATCTATACAAACAGAAGATGACATCACTCAGCAGATTATTTTTGGCTCCTCAAAGCTTGTTACGTAGTTGCAGGAGGCTTGTACATCAAACCAGTGTTCTTGGAAGTCAAGATCCGCCCCATGTAAGTTTTTATCTCTTTTTTTTTTCTCTTTTTTACTCTCTGATCAATGAAGTTAGTAAATGCATGTCATTCATTGAATTAAACATGTAAGATTTTATAAAAAAAAATATTATTTATTTTACACTAAGTTTTATATTGGATCATGTGTTCTTAAAAAACATAAATTCAAGGCTAGTAGTTACTGTCTAGGATTTCAAATCACTTGCCTTCACTCCTGAAGGTTCAAATCCCATCAGGGAGTTAGGATCCTTTCATGTGATGAAGCTATCCAGCTATCTTACAGAATGTTACTGGTTCTACTCGGGGTACCGGCTCATGTCTGAAATAATGCACAAACTGCATATTTCATATTTTCATTAAGCTGTTTTTTTAATATCAACTCCAATTTTCACTGGTGGAGGAAGATCTCATTATAAATATAGACATAATTATGTTAATGAGCACATATATTTTTCGAAAGATTTACAAAAAATAACTGGTTAAAATAATACATGCATTTTCACAGAGAAATTAGGCTAGTAAATAAATTAAACAAGTACAGATTTTATTTGTCTGGCATTTTGTCTGGCATAATATTTTGTTGTATCTGTTCCTTTGAGACCTTGGAGTACTGACTACATGTATTGAATAACCATGGTTATAAATTCACCTAGTTCATAAGTTTACTATTACAATGAATGTGTAACTAAGGTAATATTGGTTCTGAAGTCTACTGTTCCAAGATTTCAATTGGTTGTTCACTTGTTTAAAAGTGGTGATTTTCTTTTTTTTATCAATGGGATCCTAATTTCAAATATTACCTTCACCACCGTACATATCCCACCAGCATACCCTCTGCATTTCAGCATGCAAGTTTTGTGGACATGTTTTGAATAGAAATATAAGAAAATAATTTCATTTATGAATTTACTTGTATGTTTTGAAACAAAATCTAGGGGTTTATCAATACCCTTGATTATCAGAGTGATGACTTTTGCAGTTAACCAAATGATATCTTGTCATTTATTTCTCCACTACAGTGTCTGTTCTAGGAGGGGCGATGGGAGGATTCACCCATATTTTTGAGAATTCACCCCTAATTTTTCAGAGGCAGGGGGGAAATTTTACATAGAGAAAGAAAGAAAAAGATCAACTAATATAAGAAATTCTCACTTTTGATAAAAATCCCCCCTGCTTTTTAGCTCGACTATTCGCAGAATAATCGAGCTAATGCAGTCACCCATTTGTCGGCGTCGGCGTCCCTGTGGTTAAGTTTTTGTATGTAAGCTGGTATCTCCATAACTGCTGAAGGGAATGGATTGAAACTTCACACACTTGTTCTCTGTGATTATCTAAGATGATTGGCACAAGACCCATAACTCTGATTTGCTTTTTTTCATAATTATGCCCCTTTTTCGACTTAGAAATTCTTGGTTAAGTTTTTGTATGTAAGCTGGTATCTCCATAACTACTGAAGGGAATGGATTGAAACTTCACACACTTGTTCTCTGTGATTATCTAAGATGATTGGCACAAGTCCCATAACTCTGATTTGCTTTTTTCATAATTATGCCCCTTTTTCGACTTAGAAATTCTTGGTTAAGTTTTTGTATGTAAGCTGGTATCTCCATAACTACTGAAGGGAATGGATTGAAACTTCACACACTTGTTCTCTGTGATTATCTAAGATGATTGGCACAAGTCCCATAACTCTGATTTGCTTTTTTTTATAATTATGCCCCTTTTTCGACTTAGAAATTCTTGGTTAAGTTTTTGTATGTAAGCTGGTATCTCCATAACTACTGAAGGGAATGGATTGAAACTTCACACACTTGTTCTCTGTGATTATCTAAGATGATTGGCACAAGTCCCATAACTCTGATTTGCTTTTTTACATAATTATGCCCCTTTTTCGACTTAGAAATTCTTGGTTAAGTTTTTGCGTGTAAGCTGGTATCTCCATAACTACTGAAGGGAACGGATTGAAACTTCACACACTTGTTCTCTGTGATTGTCTAAGATAATTGCCACAAGTCCCATAACTCTGATTTTGCTTTTTTACATAATTATGCCCCTTTTTCGACTAAGAAATTCTTGGTTAAGTTTTTGCATGTAAGCTGGTATCTCCATAACTACTGAAGGGAATTGATTGAAACTTCACACACTTGTTCTCTGTGATTATCTAAGATGATTGGCACAAGTCCCATAACTCTGATTTGCTGTTTAACATAATTATGCCCCTTTTTCGACTTAGAAATTCTTGGTTAAGTTTTTGCATGTAAGCTGGTATCTCCATTACTACTGAAGGGAATGGATTGAAACTTCACACACTTGGTCTCTGTGATTATCTAAGATGATTGGCACAAGTCCCATAACTCTGATTTGCTTTTTTGCATAATTATGCCCCTTTTTTGACACATGAATTCTTGGTTAAGTTTTTGCATGTAAGCTTGTCTCTCCATAACTACTGAAGGGAATGTATTGAAACTTGAAGAGTTTGTACCTTTTCGGACAATTTTATGTATTCATATAGGTAAGCATTATTATACTCAATGAAAGACCCTTGTGACAAATTTTCGAATAGTCGAGCGTTACTGTCCTCCGACAGTTCTTGTTTAATCCTAGAATAAACACTGCCACTAAACAATTGGTTTTTTTTTGGGTTTTTTTTTAACATATATTTCCACTACCCATAATATTTCCTTTTAGCAAATCATAAGTTGTTTGAATGGTACAATATTGCACAATGTCAGACTGATTCATATCATAGATTGAAATGCTGTTAAAATCAATTGTATTTTCAGCCTGTAGATTTAAATATTGCCAAATTGGTTGTTTTAGTTGGCACATCTGTTGCCTTAGATAAAAATGAAAACGGTGTAATGAGATGCTTTGCAGATAATCACTTAAGCACACAGCCCTTGATTATATTGCTGGGTATCAAAACTCGTTCTGTGCAATATTGTATGATAAATAAATGAAACTCTACCTTTTATTACAGCCTGGGCCAGAGCAGGTAAGTGTTATCTCTATAATAGCATGGAACCCATTTATTTACTGTAGACTGGGCAATTAATATTTTAATCACATCAGAACCCTCAAATTTTAGTTCAGGGGATACATGATAGTACAGGATTAAGGAAGGGCAGTAGGTTTGAATCCTGCTAGAGACTTTAAATTCTTACATTTGAGTAAGCTGTCCAGCATGCTTTAGGAAGGTGTGTGCCCTTCACGTCTAAAATAATGCACAGAGGAGCACCTGACGTGTTATGTTACCAACAACTCTCTATTTGATCTTGAATTTGTCGATTCAATTTAAACCATATTATTAGGTCAGAAATAAAAACCTAATCTACAGTTAATAATGTTTGTCGCTTCCAATTAATGTCCTTAGAATTTATATCGATTTATACCCCTTTGTTAGATCGATGTTGGCATGGTTGTTAGATCTAAAAACAATTTTTATATAATTATTCACTTTGTTGTTGCTTTTTGCTAGAATTTTTGTGCAGCTTAAACCAAATCCTTTTCTGTTTTTAAAATTTTCTTGATATTTCATCTCTTTATGAAATTTTTGCTTTTATACGCAAGTCTTCTAAATAAATATTATATAGGCTACCTTACTATAACACCATATTTTAGAATTGAGCTTTGGACTTGAATGACAAATTCTTTACATTTGATGTTTTAAATTTGGAGACTGGTCTTGTCAGAAACACAGGTTTCACTGTAAATTATGTAAATTCAACTTTAAGTGTTCTGCAGTCATTGTAAATTAAAAAGTGTATGAAAGTAACAAGGTGATGGTAATAAAAGTTTGTAAGTATACCATTAAAAAAAACATATAAAATCATGCTCTGTTTTTTAGGGGTGGCAGGGGGGTGGGGGATAGGGACAGGGGGGTGGGGGGTCAGTGACGAAACACAGAAGTTGTCTTAAAATACATTGCTGTTACTTTGTATAGATTGAGAAAATAGAGCAACTGATTTTATAAACAATGTGTTATTTTGTTATGGCCTATGCATCAGTTATGATTTTGCCATAAAATTATACATATCCCATGTTATAGGTATTTGGGTTTCATATAAAGTTAGATTTTGCTGACGAAGGCGTTTTGACCAAGATTTTGAAACACTTGGTTGACTTAGATTATTTGATGACACATATTTCTTTTACGAGGGCTGTCAATAGCTAGGAGATGTTTCATACATTGTGTAAAACTAATTTTAGCTGCTTATAAACATCAATATAGGACTTGGTCAGGTTATACATGTATATTTTAATTTATAATATACATGTATCACAAACTAAGTAAACAAGGAAGCTTCGAACATTATATGCCTATTGGTTATAAGGTTAATATTGTACTGTATGTTTGTATGCATTCACGTTTTTTCTTAATATTGTGTGCTTTTCTCTCTTTTTTCCTCAATTTAAATTATAGGTTAGGTTTTGTTTAGTTAACATTGATGAAATTAAATCTGTCTTGCGAAACTATACAACTCACCGTTGACAGATTTAATTAAATAAATGCTGACTTAACAAAAACTTAACTGCTTAATATTTAGTGATTGAAATTATGTTTTAAGTCTTTACACAGTGCTGATATGAGGATATGATGCGCTAATTTTGTTAATGGAATAACATGAAATGGCGAGTTGGTGCAAATAAAATGAATAGAATGTGTCGAAGAATTTGAAATAAAGAAACTGATTCATTGCTAAAAATATAATTTCAACCACAAAATTGAATTTGATTATTTTTGGACAGTAAAGAAATGAAGAGCCATTTCACTGAAAAGGGTACAGTTTCCTTAAATGCATGTTGCTTAATTATCAGATCTTTGGACATTTTTCTTCTTATAATTAAGAGTCCTTCTTAAATGCAAAAGAACTTTTAAAGGGTTTTCCAACCAGGTGCTACCTAAATGTATTCATTTAGTATATAATAAATAAATGTTTTGAGTGGTAAATAACCAGTTTTGTTAGGAATAGAAAAAAACACAAATATGCAGGGTCAATGGTTAGACAGAAATTTTATGAGCTTAAAATTCAAATCTCATGTAGTTGATTGGTCAAAATCAAAAATCAGCGCAGAATGTACACTGACCAATGAAAATTTTGAGATTGAAGACAGAGTGTAGATTTAGGTTTTATAACCTCAAGGCCAGTTGTATTACAACTTTCCCATATATAAGATTAATATAATAATTAATTAATGATTAATTATATAGTCCCCCCTTTTTATGTGCATGTATATACATTATGTACATGTAAATAGCCTTATAAAACAAATCAATCAGAATGATGAAAGGTTAAAATGTCAGTCTACAAGTAATCTAAGAATTGAGCAGGAGCGGTAACCATTAGTGGTTAAGGTGTCTGCCTCTCTAACCCAAGAGATCAGAGGTTCAAGCCCTATTCATGTCATGACCATGTTTCAACAGAAGTCAGTGGTTGGTGCCAGAAGGCGGACTCGAAAGTGATTACAATGTATATATAAAGTTGCAAGAAATTGTTTTGCAATTGAGCTTAGAAAATATGTTTAAACCAATAAAGATTGCCTACCTGACTGGGTCCGAACACAATCGGGGACAAGTGGTTGTTTACTTATTAAGTATTGGTCTCAAGGTTATAAAACTTTTTCTTAATATCAATCTCAAATCTCACAATTTTCTTAGGTCTGTGCACATTGATTGCAAACTTCTAACCAATCAAATACCTGAGATCAGAGTTTGAGCCTGAAAAAGTTTCTTTATCATCTCAGATCCTGGCTGGTTCCCAATCTGACTAAAGTTCAGATCTACTTATTTCTTGCATGTAGATCTGATTACCAAAATGCATTATAATTCAGATTTCCAGATAAAGCTATTTTTAGCCATGCAATCAAACCAGTTTTTACAGAAAGGCATTTATTTAGAAAAGTATCAAAATATTTTTGTCAATGGAAGTAAAACAAATTGTTGATTTTTGATAGAAAAAATTTATTTGAAGTAATTTGAAACAAATAAACTTAAAATAATAGACTCAAGTTTTTTAATTGGCAAGATTGTTTTGCCAGTTTACCTGCAAGGTATATGGACAATGCCCTGTCTGATTTCTCAAAATGGTGAAAATTACCTACTCAGTATTGTTTTTCCAGCGGTTAAAATTAGAAAACGCATTGCTTTCAAAATTTTGAAATTTGATGATCACCAAACTTTGTTTGTAGCATTCTTGGGTAGTCTTTTATCAAGTTTGATCATATTAATTTGATTGGCCCCTTTTAGGGGTCTCTAGAGCTAAAAATAAAGCTAAAAAAAGAAATACCTTTAAACATCTATATCTAGAGAACTAATTGATGGATGATCACCAAACTTTGTCTGTAGCATTCTTGGGTAGTCTTTTATCAAATTTGCTCATATTGATTTGATTGGCCCCTTAAGGGGTCTCTTAGGGCTAAAAATAGAAAAACCTTTAAATGTCTTCTTCTATGGAACTAATTGATGGATGATCACCAAACTTTGTCTGTAGCATTCTTGGGTAGTCTTTTATCAAGTTTGCTCATATTAATTTGATTGGCCCCTTTTAGGGGTCTCTAGAGCTAAAAATAGAAAAACCTTTAAACGTCTTCTTCTATAGAACTAATTGATGAAGGATCACCAAATTTTGTCTGTAGCATTCTTTGGTGGTCTTTATCAAGTTTGATCATATTAATTTGATCGGCCCCTTTTAGGGGCCGCTTAAGCCAAAAGTAGAAATACCTTTAAACGTCTATTTCTACAGAACTAATTGATGGATGATCACCAAACTTTGTCTGTAGCATTCTTAGGTACTCTTTTATCAAATTTGCTCATATTAATTTGATTGGCCCCTTTTAGGGGCCACTAAAGCCAAAAATAGAAAAACCTTTGAACATCATTTCCTACTGAAATAATTGATAGATGATCACCAAACTTTGTAGCATTATTAGGTAGTCTTTTATCAAGTTTGCTCATATTAATTTGATTGGCGCCGTTTAAGCTAAAGCTTAAATACCCCAGGTCATGGCATTTCTTCAAATTATTGTTTAAACATATTCTATGCTCAAATTAAATATCAGAAAATATTGACAATGGATAATTTCCAACACTGAAAAGCAGTTGTTTCTGGTGAGCGACTCAGGGCCATCATGGCCTTCTTGTTTTATTTTTTTACAAGAATTTAAAGAACCCACAAAAATGCCTGTTTTGATAAAACCACGAAATTTCATGCCAACGAATATAAGTGAATTCGCATTAGTTTTTTTTATAATGCTGCATTGGAATTCTTTTTCTGTAACTCTTTTTTTTTTGTGGAAATTTTAATTGGTGCTTGCCAATGTTGTTTATTTTTCATAGAAAAATTTCTAGAAAAAATATTTAATTAAGCTTTATAAGTAATGTTCTATAATTATTGGATACATCATAACAGGCAAAATTTTGGATGGTTCAGTCACCAAAGCTTAAAACATGAAAATAATACTGTATCTTAGGCCGACTCTTACCCTCCATCAAAAAATTCCATGCCACATGATTTGATGCCCTTTTCAAAATATTTTGATAGAGTTCTGATAAAAAAATGGAGAAAAATAATAAGTGCATGCTTGGGATTGTGAAAACCCTTTAATTGGAAACATATCAAACATGCAAATGACATAAAACTTAATGCTGTCACAGAAAGTTCATCTTTTGACATTTTTTCTCAATTTAGAAACGTGCCCATTTTGGTGGAGTGGCACCTCGACAGGTTTGTAATTTTTGAAATTTTAGTTCTGTTTGCGGATACTGGAGTATTGTGTTAACAAGTCATTAATGATTTTATGTTACTATAATCTTTAGGGTGAAGGTTTCTCCAGCTTTGTTATATCTTACTGCTTACTTATACCAAGAACAAATCAAAATACGTTATATGCTTTATTTCATTTTTAGCTTATCTGTTTCAAAGTAATAGTCAGACTATTATGATCACTGCATTGTTATAGTTGTGCAAAAGTTTATTAAAGCAGCCCATTATACAAACATTTTAAAAAGGTATCAACATGAAATTTGGAATACTTGCTAGCCATGACAAGATGAAAATGTTAAACAAGGAGCATAATTTTGAAAGCATATTTTTGGAGTTATACCCCTTTTTAACAAGTAATTTTTAACAGACGAGCGTTAAAGTAGCATGTGGTGCACTTGTCTTGAACATCAATGAATGAATATATGAGTAAAGCGACGTTGTTTCAAATCAGGGACATTTAGGTACACACTAACTGATGGTAGTAAGATCATTACTAATGACAGTCATCAGCCATAATGAATGAACTGAAAGGAACAATTATTGGACCCCCCAAGACATTTTCTTTAAAAATTAGAAGAAAAAACCCTGCATTTGTAAAGGTCAAAACTAAAGTACATGTACCATAAGAGCATTCTTCAACGTCTTATATTCATTTATTTTTCTAAGGCATTTATAAACATCCCTCTATCTAAAGATGATCTCATAATAGAAAACAAAAACCATACCCCTTCCCATATTATTCTTAGAGTAGTGTGTTTTTAAACATGTTTGGTACGGTAAATTGCTTTTAATGGTAACTCTTCTAATAACTTAAAAGAACGTCTTCTATGTAGAGCATATTTCAACATACCGGTACTAAGATATTGTACATGTAAAGATATTGTAACTTTGAGAATATTATGGTTTTTCATTCAACAGCAATATGTGGAGCAAAGGATTCGTAATGAGGAGGCAGGGGAGCTGACAGAGTTGGTCAGAGACTTCTTGGACCCAGCCGTCTTCTATAACCAGCTCATAGGCAAAGGGATAGACTTTTTCTGTGGTGTGCCAGATTCTTTGTTAAAAGGTATGCATTGTTTTTTTTTAAATAGGTTTATATAATGTTCGTATTATAAGTTATTTCATGTTTTTTTTTATTGTATACCTGGAAACTTTTATAATACAATCATTCTCAAGTGAAGAATTACATACAACCAGATTGATTTTGACGTAATTCACTCCTTGTATTGCTTGTATTACTTTGTCCACTCGCTTAGCTATATAGGTAGGGCCCTGGTCCGGAATTGGAATCAAGGGGTGGCTGGTTATAAGGTCCTTGGGACAGGCAAAATATCTCAGACATAGTGTTTAATGGTCGTTTTTGACTTACCTGATTCAGAAATCTTGGAATTAGTAGATGGTCAAGGGGCATCCATGGCCGAGTGGTTTAAAGGTTGTAGACTTCAAACCACTTGCCTTTCACCGCTGTGGGTTCAAGTCTCTTTAGGAACACAAGGGTCTTCAGATTCTTTCATGTTAGGAAGCTTATAATCCAGCTAGATTGTGGTATGTCTCAAAATGATAATTAGATGGAGTAAGATATGGATTTGATAAAAAAAATAGTTTGGACTCTAAAAATGAAAATGAGGCTATATGGGGTGTGATATGGATTTGATTTGAACCTTTTAAACTCTGGAAATGAAACAAAACTATATGGGTTGTGATATGGATGATTTGTGCAAATGATGAAAGTGCATTGATTATATTTGATAAAGTATGGAATAATCAATTGTTCTAGAACAAAAAATTATTATTCATCATGTAAATGTTCATTTTTAATGGTTTAGAATTCTGTCAACATCTTAAAAAAAAAAAAAAATCCATTGTTTTTATCAATATTTGAAAAACTTATTGAAAAGGCAGGGTTTGTACAGTCTTAAAAAGTGTTTAAATTTCAGTCCCTTTCTTCTTAAAAAGTGCTTAGATTTCAATACCTTTCTTAAAAGTGCCTAAAAATGTAAAAAAAAGTGCTTAAAAGTCCTTTAATTCAATTACTCTCTTGAAAAGTGCTTAAAAGTGCTTTTAATTTGCTGAAAATGTGTTTAAAGAAAAATGATTGAATGACAAAGTGTCGATTATAATCAACAGTTAACAAAATGAAAAAATGATCCAATTTAATATCAAAATCAATGAAATGTTTGCTCAACAGTAAGTAGACAAATTGCAGTTGTTTTGAAGTATTTTGTATTTGATGCACCCTTTGTTGTTGTTCTATAAAAACCTTAAAATTGTTCTTAGGTTGAAGATTGTGTCGATATATGTGCAACAAATGTGCTTGAAAAATGTGAAAACGCGCTTAAAGATTGCTTAAATAGTCCTTGAATTTTGGCATTGGATGTCTGTACGAACCCTGAAATGTGCCAATTGTAGACCAAAGACGTTAACAGGCATCAATTACAGTATATGATGAAAATTCATAATTATCATATTTTCCTATTTTTTTACCTCCAGATTTCTGTGCATACGTAACAGATAATGCCCCTGCTAGTAACCATGTTATTACAGCGAATGAAGGCAACTCGGTCGCCCTAGCCTCTGGTTATCATCTGGCTACAGGAAAATCAGCCTTGGTTTATCTTCAGGTAAATATTTATATATGTTCACTTTTATTTTCTCAACAGTAGCTAATTCCCATGTTGACTTAACTTTGTAACAATTTTATGTAATAGTGGATTAAAGTATCCAGTTAGCTTATGCAATGTTGGTGATTCTACTCGGGTGCCTGTTCATGCCTGAAATAATGCGAAAAGACTTGGGGGTTCTTCCTTCACCAATAAAGCTTTAAAGTCACCATATGACTTTAAACTGTGTTGATATGTTTTTAAGTAACTCTGTTTTAGATTTGAAAGTGAAGAAATTGTTTTCAGTATTAAAAATACTTGTTAAGCAAAAGTTATATTTAATCCACAAAATATTGCATACTGGTTTGTTAATCCACATAATAATTTCTCAATAGAATCAGATCAAGAATATCCAAGAAATAAAAAGCAGAACAATCTCTGCAGAGCAATTACCTCTTTAAAACAACAAAGCAATAACCACTTTAAAACAAATAAGCAATAATATCTATAAAACAACTAAGCAATAACCTCTTTAAACAACTAAGCAATAACCTCTTTAAAACAACTAGACAATAACCTCTTTAAAACAAGTAAGCAGTAACCACTTAAAACAACTAGCCTGAAGTAGACAAAAACCTAGCAGTAACCTCTTTAAAACAACTGAGCAAATTACCTCTTTAATACAACAAGGCAATAACCTATTTAAAACAACTAAGCAATAACCTCTTTAAAACAACTAAGCAATAATTTCTTTGAAACAACTAATCAATAACCTCTTTAAAACAACTAAAGCAGTAACCTCTTTAAATCAGCTGAGCAAATTACCTCTTTTAACAACAAGGCAATAACCACCTTAAAACAACTAAGCAATAACCTCTTTAAAACAACTTAGCAATAATCTCTTTAAAACAACTAGGCAAAAACCTCTTTAAAACAACTAAAGCAGTAAATCTTTGAAACAACTGAGCAAATTACCTCTTTAAAACAACTAAGCAATAACCTCTTTAAAACAACTGAGCAAATTACCTCTTTAAAACAACTTAGCAACAACCTCATTAAAGCAACTAAGCAAATTATCTCTTTAAAACAACTGAGCAAATAACCTCTTTCAAACAATGAGGCAATAACCTCTTTAAAATAACTAAGCAATAACCTCTTTAAAACAACTGAGCAATAACCTCTTTAAAACAGCCTCTGACTAATGATAAAAAACTACATTATCTTCCTAAAGTCAGACTGATTTTTGCCACTGAAATTTATTTAAATATTAACATGAGCTGGTTCCCGTTTCAGAATTCAGGTCTAGGTAATACTGTTAACCCGCTTATGTCACTAGCAGTACCAGCAGTGTATAGTATACCAATGCTCTTACTAGTGGGATGGAGAGGGGAACCAGGCAAGCGTGATGAACCTCAGCATCTGTCACAAGGGCAGTCAACTCCAGGGTTATTGGGTAAGATTTCTTTCCCTTAGCAAATGTTAATTGATTTTGTTATAGTCTGTTATAGTTATTTATTTATTTATAAAAACATTGATTTTGTTAATGTACAAAGTATTAATAGTGAATGTATTAAAAAAAATTCCTTAATTTTTGTGGTTGAATTATGTTTATTGTATGTTAATAAGGAAATCTGTTTCATATAATGCACGGAAAACTAAAATTGCTAGACCAGTTATCACATTGAATTGAAAAAGTTCTATTCCGTGTTTCCTGTCAAGTAAGTAGGATAATATTAGAAAAAAATATTTCATGGCAACAGTAAGGCCATTAAAACTGTAAATGAGTGCTTTATTAGTGGCCTTAATGCCTTGTTATCTCTTTTAGCTGCTCTCGGGATCCCATTCCAGCCATTACCAGATTATGAGGAAGGGGCCGAATTAGCTTTACAAAGTGCAAGACATTACATGGACCTTTCAAAGGGACCCTATGCTCTGCTCGTTAAACGACAGATCTTTTCACCATATAAATTACCGAAGGTTATACCAGAATTCCCGTTATCTAGAGAAGATGCAATGAAGATAGTCATAGATAATCTAGGTCAGAAAGATATCGTGGTCGGAACTACGGGAATGTTGTCCCGAGAGTTGTATGAATACAGGTTCGTATCCCATGATTCATTGTAATACTCTATTCTTACATAAGTTGAAAACTTACAGCAGGGCAAACTTACAGCAGGTGTCAAGTGCCGTATGGCTACTGTAAATATTTGCCCGTACTTAACTTCAATGTTGTTATATTTTTCTGGTCCTTTAGGATCATTGATACCGTCTCCGTGGTCGAGGGGTTAGAGTCGATGACTTCTAATCCAGTTACCTCTCTGGCGTGGGTTCGATCCCCGGGAGATGATTTGGTAGTTTAGGGCGGAGGAAGGTAGTCTAGTACTGGTGTAACTCTCCAGGAACGATGGTTAGGAAACTACCCGCCTATATGACTGAAATACTGTTGGGAAGGCGTAAAATGAAACAAACAAACAAACAGGATCATTGATTCCAGCATGTTAAGTGTTGAAATTGAGTACCGCTCAATCTGTTGCTAGGAGGCTAGAGGGATGTTACACTTTTTCATTATCCCTCATGTACAGACTCAATCAAACAGAGTCTGCAATTTTCATGTGATTAGTACTATTGAGAGATCATTCTCATTCCAGATCTTTAGGCAAAAATATTGTAGTCTGTTGTTCCAACAGTGTACCGGTTGATATATAGTATATATTCATGAATAAAATGTCTGCACTAGATAATAAGTTTTGGAAATTAATATCAACTTTGAATGCAATGTTGCAAATATATTATGCAATCATTTTGCGATACCTATATTATACAAAGCATGCTTATTTGGGGTTTATGGTTGTTCTCAGGTCCTGGCTTACACCTCTGTTTTTGTAGCTGTGACTTAAAATTCAACCTTTTGATATTGTAATTTTATCATAAATGTTACATGTAGTAATTGTAGTATGACAGGTTTACAGGTTTAAAATCTTGCTTGCACAACAAGGTTAATAAAAACATACTGCTCTCCTGTATGCCTTTTTGTGCATCTTGGGTCTTCTCACTTATTTAGCCAGAATGTTGCCATCTTACCTTTTATAATGTAGCGGGATTTAATAAAAGAAGACCAGCTCCTTCTCCCCTAAAGTAAACTTTCTTTGATATATTTGTGTCTTCAGGAGTTTGATTGATAGATAGTTTCAAAATCTGGTACTCTCAAGAATAAGGGTTATATTCTTATGTTCTTGGGTCCCAATAATTTTTGTTCCTGAAAGACTGGGAGAATGCAGGGAGGGCAACAGAGCCATTTAACACCACCAAACCCCCCACCAGTGAGGCTGAGATGTTGCCATATGGCCTTAACAGAGTCAATGTGATTTTAGAAGTTAACCTTCTTCCATGTATTCAAGTCTTCATAAGTTGTAAAATCTTACACAAAGTTAAGTGGAATAAATTTGTGTATTTCAGGGTAGAGAGAGAGGATGGACATGAACGAGATTTCCTCACTGTAGGATCTATGGGTCACGCATCATCTATTGCTCTTGGTATAGCTATGCAGAAACATAGAAGACAGGTATATAAATTCACCAGTGAGATATAATCTGTATCAATCACTACAGATCTCAATATTGAAAAAATAGTTCATAACCAGGTTTTTCAATTGAAATAATAACAGTACCACCTACACTTGAAATAATGCACAAATGAAAAAAGCCAATCAAAGGTCTTTGGTTTTACCTTGGTAACTTCTACACATAATACAACTCACAGAAGTTCACTTTTGCTTTCCTTACATCATCAAGGCGAAGAGGTGTTTTATAAAAGGTAGCCTTCGTCAGTGAAATACATATTATAATGTTACAAGTTTAGTTTGATTTAATGTGTATGTAAGTGGTATAAACTCTCATATACATTTTAACCCTTCTATCTGTGCAACTAGTGCAAACCAAGATCAGCTGTCACATCAGTTCCGTCTGCTCCTGGCAGTTTGTGATTCAGGAAGTCCATAGGGGCATCTGTGGCCGAGTAGTTAAGGTCGTTGACTTCAAACCACTTGCTCCTCACCGCTGTGGGTTTGAATACAGACAGGGACTTTGGATTCTTTCATGTGAGGAAGCTATCCAGCTAGCTTGCGGGATGTTGGTAGTTCTACTCTGGGTACCCATTCGAGCCTGAAATGTTGCATGGAAGGGCACCTGAGGTTTCCTCCACCAGTAAAGCTGGGATGTCGCCATATGACCTATAATGTGTTGGTGTGGCGTAAAACCCAATTAAACAAACAGAAGGTTCATATCATTTTCCCAATAATGATGAATGGTTTTGTCCAGATTGAAAGAGGCAAGTCCATTTAAGACATTTAGGGTGGTAAGGTTATAGCATGCATAGAACAACCTGGAATTGAGATATTCTGTTCTCAATTTAACAAATAGGAACGCATTTCCATCCATATTTTATTTGTTTTTGTGGTACTTTAATCTACATGACCTGTTTATTATGTCTGCAGGTTTTCTGTCTAGACGGTGACGGATCTGTGATCATGCACATGGGTGCCATGGCAACAGTAGGTCAGCATGCCCCACGCAACTTCAGACACATAATAATAAATAACGGTGCCCATGACTCAGTGGGAGGTCAACCTACAGATGCCGGGAACCATACAAAGTTTGACTTTGGGTCCATTGCAAAAGGTTGTGGTTACAAGGAGGTAGGTTTTCAAATATTTTTGTTGTATACTTAAAGTTGGAATTAAGGTGACCAATTTAATAAATGCAACACAGTACAACACTTATAACACAACTGACATGTTGAATACTTCTAATTTGACCTTGACCTTCAAACCCTTATTACAAAACTGACAGGTTGAACACTTCTAATTTGACCTTGACCTTCAAATGACTGAAGGTCATGGTCAAGTTAATGAATTTGATGAAATTGCCATGAGGGAGACATGTGGTTGATACTTTGACAAACAACACTAATGACAACACTGTATAATTCAAGTATGACCTTGATCTGTACATGACCTGAACTGTCAAGGTCAAATATGAAATTTTCATTTAATTCTTTACAAAAAAAAATTACACTTTCTTTCACAGCTCTTCACTACACTGATATTTCTCTGATGTATTTGCCTTTGTAAATAAGAAAAAGTAAGTCAAACATGGCCTCGACCTGTGTAAGGCTGTTAAACTGGGGGAGAGTCAGAAAAATTAAAGAACAAAAACCATATTAAGAGTTGGGATTTCCAGCCTTTTTTGTATTGAGTTAGCCTGTTGACTTGTACTTGTAGTATTTTTAGTATTAGGTAAAACATTACTAACATACATCTTGTATATTACATAATGTATATTGTGAAATTTTACAGTATCTACTTGCCATTAACCCCGAGGATGTAGCAGCAGCTGTGGTCAAGTTGAGGACAATGGATGGACCAGTTCTGCTGGAAATTAAGACCAAGACAGGAGCCAGGCACGACCTGGGAAGACCAAAAACTAAACCATTGGAAAACAAGGAAGATTTTATGCACTTTTTAGCATTATCCAAGTAAATTTAGAACAGGGTTATAAAGTTTTAAAATCATCTTAAGGAAAACTAAAATTTACATAGTTAAACATATGTTGTTAAAGTATAACAAATAAGGGTGAAAATAATGTTTGTATTGGAATGAACTTGTGAAAAGGTTTATGATTTTTTTTATATTTTTGAAATCAAAATACTGAGCCAGTATGTGTATACGATAGATATAATTCAAACATCATGTTATCTGACATAGTGTGAAAATGTGATTTTGAGGTCATTAGGTCAAGGTCATAGTGCCACATGAATTATTTGTCAAGAATTTTATCAGCCATTATACATATATGTATTATATTTTATGACTGATTTACAAAAAAGTATATGCACTGGTGAATATGGGTTTTTACCAGCATTATTCAAAGAGATACTGTCTTAATAGCTTTATAAGAAAAAGTCATTTTTATCAACCCATTGTTGTAGCATTTATGTGGCATATGACCATGGCAAGTGGCAAATTTATGTTATTTTTTCATAGTTTTCCCCATCCAGAAGATGATAAAAAGTCATTGAATTCACTTTATTTTATGCTGACACTACCACGATGTTCGCAGGGTTTTATAAGAAAAATGAGATTATGTGTAATGTTATCATAAATCATTGTCATCATAGATGGTTAACTTGTGCTGGAAGACTATAAATCAGAGAGCTTTGAGTAATTTTTTATTGGACATTTTTATATTGTAGCCTTAATTGTTTAAATGCTTTCAAGATTACTTATTTACCTGTGCAGCTGTGGTCTGTATAGGGCAAGGCTGTTATGCATTCTTAACGTGCATTCTGACCATGCATTCTGGCCACACTGTGTTGATTGCCGAGTTATATTAACATTTTCATATCAATGAAACAAACAAACAAACATACTTTTTTTTAGAAACTGTGACATGTGTTCATGACAGGTGTATTTGGGTAGGTTAAGTGTTCAGGGTAAAAACGTTAGTAAAGGGTTATATATATGTAGTAAACATCCATTTCTTCATATAACCTATCAGATGCCTTTATAAAGGTTCCTGGTAAAATTGCTGAGTATAAATGGTTATATACCAAAGAACCATTTATTCCAGGTTATATAACCCATCAGATGTCTTTAAAGGTTTCTGATAGATAATATTGCCTTGTTTAAATGGTTATATAGCAAACAACCATTTATTCCAGGCCATATAACCATCAAATGTCTTTAAAGGTTTCTGATAGATAATATTGCCTTGTTTAAATGGTTATATAGCAAACAACCATTTATTCCAGGCCATATAACCATCAAATGTCTTTAAAGGTTTCTGATAGATAATATTATCTTGTATAAATGATTATATAGCAAACAACCATTTATTCCAGGCCATATAACCATCAAATGTCTTTAAAGGTTTCTGATAGATAATATTGCTTTGTTTAAATGGTTATATAGCAAACAACCATTTATTCCATGCCATATAACCCATTAAATATCTTTAGATGATAATACAGGTAATATTGTCTAGTAAAATAAATTGTTATAATTAAAGCAATCATTTATTCCAGGGCATATAACCTGACTTAATAATGAATTTATATCACAGCACAAGTGCTTTCTTTGATTTAAAATGGAATTTAAATATGAATTTGCAGCAACTTTGTGTCAAGACAATATAATTATGATGATTACCCAATGAAAATCAAGAAGTATTGATAAACAATGACAATTAAGTGCTTGTATTTTTGAAAGTATAGATAACATGTGACATTTCAATTGTTGAAAGATTTTTTATATATTTTTTGTGCATAATGAAGTTTTGTTTTTAGTAGATTAGATAAGATGTAGTTATATTATTTATTTTAACATGTTTTGAGTTGGTTATTTATCTTAAGTCTTTGTTATTGTTTATTTGATAGTTTAACACACATTTTACTTTGGATTTATTTATTAAATAACATTGTTAGAGTAGCATTATAGTGTCTTTTATATTCATAATCTTTTTGATATTGTGCTGTAGATCTTGTAAATTGTCTTTAACCTCTTTTAGAATGACAGCAGTGACCTTTGTTATTGGCCAGATTTCAAATCTAAGTCAAGCTATAGCATAGCTGGCCTAAAAATATATATTTTTTACACAATTTTAGTGTATTGGTAACCAGTTATAGAAATCAAATTTTCCCATCATCACAGTCATGTTATTAGTTATGAATTTTAAAATGTGAATAGTTACTACGGTAGTAGTTATTTGTTTCTATAAATAGTATCCAGTTTTAAAGACATTGTTGATCAGTTAGAAAGTTGAACTCTACCATTGGTCAATTTTTGAATCAGAATTAACCAATCAGATGCTGCTTCTAATAATAGCATCAAATGATAAAATGATTTTAGTAACAGTTGAAAAAGTTTAACTCTACCATTGGTCAATTTCAAATATGTAATCATATTCGACCAATCAGATGCTTAATTCTATAAATTGTATCTAGTCTCAAGTTTTATAGTTTGAAGACTAAGATGGCTGCTCAGGTACTTTGTATTGTATTGATACTGCCAGAATTCATGACAATCTCTCAAGAACACATTTTATTTCATCTTTACAATGCTGTTATTTTACTGGATTACATATGTCTATATTATATATAGTGTATATGTATACAACATTCAGAGGTTCAGTGAAAACAACTTGATTTTGGACAGCAGGCTTAAACAAGCATTTGATTGGCTGATTTTATTTTAATATTTAAAATTGACCAATGGCAGATCTCTATTTTTTTACATTGGTAAATAAACATGTATGTCACCATGCTTGTGTCCGCCTAGACAAGAAATAGTTTAGGAGCATGGTCCTTGTTTACATAAGTTTTGTATAACTGGACCATTATTGCCTAAGAGTGACTGTTATTCTTTGTTTTTGAAAGTTAGTGATAGAGAAAATAAAATTGTTTTAGATATTTTTCATATTGATCTGTTTTATCAAAATGCATAATTAATATTGTTTTTCTTTCGCTTTTACTTGAATCTCAACAGCTTACATACTTATAAATTTAATGAAAGGATTTTTTGTACTCTTTCTTGCTGATTTTCAGTAATAGTTTTTATATAGTGGAGTAAAATGCATGATTTCTGTATACAGTTTATCCTCTCCAGAGCCACTCTCTAAGCACCAACCAAAGTATTTGTCTCCCAAAGGGTTATGCCTCACAAAGGTTATACTTTATCATATTTTAGAGTGTTTTTTTGTATTCCCCCAAGCCTTTCTCCATTTTGATGCATATTTTACTGTTTAACTGTAACTATAGACTATGCTTTCTTATACAGATTTTATATTCATGTATTTGTATGAATGTATGTATATTGCATTAAAGTGAATTGGTCCACAAATGAAGATCTGTAATGCCTAAAATAATCATGCTGATAGTATTTTTATATAGTATTTTGTATCATAAGTGAAAACAAACCACAAACGAATTGTAGATAGATGTAGTAGGGAAAGTGTTAAGATACAATATCTGATATGACCTACCAATATATAGGAAAGAATAAAGTGTTCTAGAACAAAATATTATTATTCATCATATAAGTATTCATACTTAATCACTTTAGAACTCTTTATTAACATTAATATTTAACAATAACAGAAATATTTCTTAGCACAATACAAATCTTACATTTCTATTGTTTTTGATCAGTACCTGAATTACATATGGAAAATGTGCCCATTGTAGACCAATCCACTTTAATACAAATGTATTAAGTTGTATTGTACAATGTAATGTACTATGTAAGTGTATATTAATATTATTATTATTTAATGCTTGTTGTTATATTCATGTAATATAAATAGCCACACATATTGTTTAGCTAGTTTATAACTATCATGTTTCAGGAGTATAAGTATCTCACTTGATTTAAATAGAAGAAAAAAAATATGCTTATGTATTTTTCAAATTTTCTTCTGGGGTTCGGAGAGGCAGGTTTAGATCAGGTTTATTTTTGTATGAGTTTAAACCCAGCTTTCCTCGTATTTTTTTAAATGTGAGGAAACCATCCAGATAAGTTTGTTATTAGGGTTGTGTTCTGAATGAAAAATAACACTTGTCTGGATTATGTGAATTAAACATAACTTTTGTCAGTCATTCTTGCATAAAATCTGTGCACACCAGTATACAATTGCATGGATTATGTTAATTGAACATCATTTTTGCATAAAACATAAAAAAATCATCGTACACTGTACATTCATAGAAAAGAAATCATTTATTCAATGCATTGCTGTACTTCTGCACATGTTTAAGCAGGGAAAAAAGGGTACATAAAGATTTTTTTTTACCGGGACATAAACACCTCCGGGACTGACACCTTATTTCTGGGACTTTCCCGGACATCCGGGACATTATGGCATGTATTCGATTAACCCTCTATTGTATATCACTTATTGGGAAAACTTCATTAAATGTTGTAGAAAAAAATGACTATATAAATGTATTTGGCTTTATATTTCTAAAATGTACTTTTTTAAATAATATTTAACTTAATATACCACATGCTCTTGAAAGAAACTTACATTCAACTGTTTTATATCTTATCGAGATGTGTGAAATACTAGCTCGAAACAAAGCAAGCATAATATATTTAGTTGTTTACTATATAATAGCATGTCTATTACAAGGGGGATATAATCATATATAAAAGTATATTCATTTATTTATATACATTTGTATTGTTTAATTTAATCTTACTTAGTAAGCAGTAGAACTTAAGTTTAGCACAATATTATTTCAAAATAGTAATTATACAAAATTATACAAGAAATAGCATTTTAACCAAGAAATGTGTTCTTGACTAAGATTTTTTCTGTTATCACACTACGGCAATTTATTTTTTAAATTGAATCTTAACATAAGTATTACTAGGGCAATTTTATTGTTTCCAAACCTCTAACGTTTTTTGCACATTAATTTCCCAGTGCACATTTCACTAGATCTATGTAAATTTGAAAATGTGCACAGGGTGATTTATTCAAGATACTATTGGCATAAATAAGGTGCATGCTAATCCCATTGCCTTGCCTATGTCATTATATCCATAATGGTGGAAATGGGAAATTTGAAGAAAAAAAATTGAATCAAGCAGTTTTGATAATTTTATTCAACAACAGGCACTTAAATTATTAAACTTTTGGCATGTTTGCACCTTTACCCTTGATGGAGTTTGGGGTTGACTGGGTGAAGGTCACCGTTGTAAAAAGTAAAAGAAAAATCACTTTTAAATGATAAGGCAATTTTACGTTTTGTTAAATCAACAAACAGCATCCTTCATTTGTACATTACGGTTATTTACATAAATTGCATTTCATTATTTTAACAGTTTTGACCATGTTAGTCTTCCATACTTTTCATTTATTTTATCGCTGTATTCTAATAAAACTCATGAACCTGTAGAAATTGAACTTGCTGCCATCATTAAGGAAATGGTCTACAACATATTTCTACAAAGTATTACAGAAATTATACGTTTAGGTAACACGATTTGTGTATCGATTTAAATCCATTTATATTCACCAAACAGTATTGTTTTGTTCTTTTGTTGTAATGATGTACTTGTAAAGATATTGTTAAGTCACCCATCTTTAATTGCTCAATCTGCTATATGTACCATGTAAAATTTCATTATTTTGGGTATGAGATTATTACATACTTAAAACCTTAATATTCTGTGTTACTTCGGGTCTGAAATTATTGAACATTCTTTAAACCCTTATTCTGCTGAAACAGTACATGATAAGTCATTGCCACCTATATAGAGCCAGGCAAGCCTGTACATCTGTGCAGTCTGGCCAGGCCCTATACTGTTGGTAGCTCAACTTTGGAATATTAATATCAAAATCCCTGTTTCTTTTAATCATAATTCCATATACAAAGCTGGGCACATTCATTACTAAAGTTCAGCAAATTAATGGTTAAAACTAGTCTAACCCATTGGTCAATTTACAAATTATTCACCACCAATCATATTGTAGCATTCACATGTGTGGGGGATATAGAATTGAAAACCAGTCTTAATATAAAACTTTTTCCATTGGCTGGTTTGAAGTTTTGATATCTGAATCAACCAATCAGAATGTGCATAAGACTGGTCTTCATTTTAAAGTGATCTTTTGTTGACCTAAGAAACAGTGCTTAGAGGGACCAAAAGTTTCTGTGAAACAAATTTGCCAGACTTGTATATGGTGCATAAGTAACACTGGAATGGGCTTCATATGTTTGCTTTTCATTTTAGAATTCAGTAACTAGCTTTATTGTTACATTGAAGTTAAAATTTAGGTAGACTTTTTAAGAGAAAACTTACAATTTTATATAGATTATGTATTTGTTGACATTACATTTACACAATTTTCATTACAAATTTTGATAGTCAACATAAATCATGGTACATTTTCTGTGTGGTTTAAATAAAATGAATTTCTTACAAAGAATCTTTGTATTTGTCTGTGATTTTATTTTTCTTGAATGTATTAAATTCATAGAAAAGATGATATTATTTACAATATCTAGAAATTGAGATTGAATTTGCAAATATTCTTAAATAATTATACCCTTTTCCGATTCAGAGAAGTGGGGATATATTGCTTTGCACATGTTGGTAGGTTCGTGAGTCTGTAGATCAGAACATTTTTTATCAATAACGTGAGAATGCATGGGCGTGGGAACTTCAGTTTCGGAATGGAGATTGGTCATGACCAGTGAACCCTTTTTTGGGGGGATGTGACCAATAACTCAACAATCCATGTACGACGTCACGGACTTGTGCGCGAGAATTCTACTGGTATGGTAGAGCAGTCAAGCCAAGTGTCAATATGACAAAAAAACGCTATATTTAACCTTTATTTTTTTTTTGCTATCGCAGAATTTCGCGACTTTTTATGATAAACACTTCAGATAATGTTCTTTCTTGAGATGTTACTAAAAAATTTTTTGCAATTAGTTTGAAGTTAATCTTTTCATTTACTGGCCTAATGGGTCCATGGCCCTCAAACTTTACAGGTGCATTGGTTTTGGCCAGTAGATGACCCCTATGTTTCTTTTTAGCAGGGAGTCAAGGTCAAATTAACCTTTAAGTCCAAATAGTTTCCAACCATTTAACTCGACAATCAATGGGCCCTCTGTCCTCAAACTTCACAGATGTCAAGATCACATTTATTGTCAATGTTAAAATGGTTTTGGACCAATAACTTCAAAACCAATAGATCCTTGGACCTCAGGCTTCATAGAATCACTGGTCTAGGGCACTCCACGGGGATAGTAAATGTTTTACAAATATTGCTTAATTAATGTATGAGTAAATACAAAATATGCTACCTGTGTGTCCATATGCAACAAGATCTACAGTAAGCATATGTGGCCTAGTTGTCAAGGTTGTTGGCTTCAACTAGATTTTTTCATGATGTGGGAAAGCTTTAAAAAGTAAATCATAAAAAATGTAAAAAAAAATTAAAAAGATAGTTATTGCTGACATTTCATGCAATGAATAATGTTATAGACATACAAATATCACTTAAGCTTTAACACAGGTTTGTAACATAATATTTTTATATGCAATTGATCGGTAATCTATCAAGATGTTAATCTATTTCGTTCAAGTATTAACACTAAATATCCCACTAAATATCTTAAAACATCACTTTTACGTCCTTTAATTTTGATAAAACCTTTTATGGTCAAGTATTCACTGAATAGCCAACAATGTAAATCATGAACAGACAGCAAAGAATAATGTGACGCTTGCATGGTTGGAATCAGGTGCTTAGTATAAAATTGACTTTTTGCAGATAACCAAATCCTTCATGTTTCTCTGAAATCCGCACAGGGGAATTACAATCCCACAGGCACTGTCTCTAGCTAAATTTACACCGTAAAATATGTGCACAGTCATGGTTTGTTGATCTTATTTTGCAGACGCACAACTAGCATACTATCTTTAAGTTACTTAAATGACATTAACATTCTACAAGTAAATCCAAGGTTTATAACGCTTCTGCATCCGTTTTGTAGCATGTCACCAAAGCTTTAAGATTATCCAAAGTTTCTTGATAATCGTCTTCTTCTAAACCAGCCGACATGTATCGGTGATGTTTTTTAATATTCATCTTAGCTGCTGATTCATACAGTTGTCTAATTACGTCCCCTGCTTCTGGTGTAGACTGTAATGATGTGAGCATTGGAACCGAGTCTACCCGCTTTCCTTCCGGTCTTGGTGTCGAACAGATGAGTCCATCGCTTGTTACATTTTCGTTGAAAATTTGTGGATAAGGAACTTTTGTTTTTATTGCACTTTCTAGACAGTTTGTAGCAAATAAATTCCCTTGACTCATGTGTGATAGATAATTTCTTAAAACCTCTTCTTTAGAAGTTAATCTAGCAAGATAATCTGGAAGTTTTGATGGGTCTGTCTTACTTTGTACCATCGCATTTGTTACACCTCGCATCACTACCGACTGAATAAAAGGTTTTTTCTCATTCTTGACATGAGGTGTGACTGGTTGCCAAGGAAACATTTCGCCATACTGGCTGAAAAAGTCTATTAAACTTTCATCTTTGTAAAGACCAAGAGGAAAACTTGTGTTTAATGTTGCAACCTTTCGACCTTGACTGTTGAAGGAATGAGTTATGTCCCTTAGATTGATTGCATTTGTTTCAAGTCTATATGGGAGTGACAGAGTGTCTAAGGTTGAAGCCAATATGGCGCTAGTGTGATACGCCATCGGTTTATAGTTCAAGTACGGAATTTCTATCGGCTTTCCTAATTTTTGCCATACACTTGACGCCAGCGAGACTGGCACAAAAAGAGAACTATGGGTAGTCACACTACCATATGCTAATGCCGAATTTATAATTCTCGTGGCTCGCTCCTTAGCAGTGCTATCTGGACTGTCAGCAGATGTGAAGCAAAACGTAAAGATTCCTTTTCCTGGAAATTCGTCTTCTAAGTAACGCAGAATTCCAGCTCCCAGGCCGCCACATCCATCATGTGTATCCATCATTATATGAAATCCTTGTAAATTATCACATTCTTCTGTAAAATAATGGATTCTATCTTCCCATTCACATGTGGATTCGTAATTGGAAAAGACCTCGTTTGCAGAATTGAACAAATCAAAGGGACTGAACTCATCTTTATGACGGTACTCTTGTACGACGTGAACAGATTTTGGATGGAAACTAGTGCCAAGAAAATCGGACCATACATTTATGTGATCTTCTAAATTAACTGGTTTCGTTTCTGATAAAGTGTCTCTTTCATCACCTTTTCCAGCTTGACAGACTTGTTTCTTTTTCTCTGTGCCAAGGTCATGGTCACCATACTTTTCTTCATCTATAAAGAAAATAAAAACAGTTAATAAATTAACTTAAACCTTTGTCAAAACAGTTGAAAGAGCACTTCAAGAATACCAAATAAATAAATACCATCAAGCATTAAAAAGAGAGCAATTGGCCCCAATGCGCTCCCCTGAGTACTAAATGCCATTGATACACAAAGTGAAGTTACCAGGTCTTAAAAAACAGGGTTAATGTTTTTGTGTAGGTAAGAAGTTGATGTTTTAAGACAATACACCAAGAACTTAAAAGTTATGATCAAGGTGGGAACAGTTTTTACTATATAAGCATAAAAGGAAAACCTATGACCCCGGGGCTGGGCCAATTTTGACCCTAGGGCTACAATTTGAACAATCTTAGTAGAGTTCCACTACACAATGCTTAATGCCAGATATCTAACCACTAGCCTTTGTCAATTCAGAGAAGGTTTTTTAAGTTTTTACTATATACATATAAGGAAAACCTATGACCCCCGGGGCGGGGCCAATTTTGACCCCCAGGGCTATAATTTGAACAACTTTGGTAGAGGACCTATAGATGATATTATATACCAAATATCTAAGCTCTAAGCCTTGTACCTTCAAACAAGTTTTTTTAAGTTTCTACCAAATACATAAAGGAAAACATTTGACCCCCTGTGGCGGGGCCAGTTTTGACCCCAGGGCTATAATTTAAACAGTTTTGGTTGAGGACCTATAGGTGATATTACATACCAAATATCTAAGCTCTAAGCCTTGTACCTTCAGACAGGAGGATTTTTTAAGTTTTAACTATATACATATAAGGAAAATCTATGACCAAGAGGCAGGGCCAATTTTGATCCTAGGGCTATAATTTGAACAATCTTGGTAGAGTTCCACTACACAATGCTTCATGTCAAACATCTAACCACTAGCCTTTGTCAATTCAGAGTAGAAGGTTTTTTTAAGTTACTTTACACATATATGGAAAACCTATGACCCCCGGGGCGGGCCAATTTTGATCCCCAGGGCTATAATTTAAACAACTTTGGTAGTGGATCTATAGATGATATTATATACCAAATATCTAAGCTCTACTAAGCCTTGTACTTTCAAACAGAAGATTTTTTAAGTTTTTACTATAAACATATAAGGAAAACCTATGACGCCCTGGAGCGAGGCCAATTAGGACCCCAGGGCTATAATTTGTACAACTTTGGTAGAGGACCTTTAAGTGATATCATATACCAAATATAAAAGCTCTAGGCCTTGTTCTTTCAGACAAGAAGATTTTTAAGTTTGCATTTTCTAAACTCCTATCTTAGCCCCGTGACCTACTTATACAACAGACCGAAACCATTTGAACAACTTTGGAGGGGGACCACCCAAGGATCATTACTGTAAAGTTTGGTTACTGTGGGGTCATTGGTTTTTGAGGAGATGTTGTTTAAAGAAATTGTGACGACGCACGACGATAGGACGACGGACGGTGGGGGATCGCAATAGCTCACCATGAGCTAAAAATGGTAAAATCTTAGCTTTTCAATAACATTTTATGTCCTATTACAATTAACCTTATACCTGTGCCATCTTTTGCTTCCTTTGCATTTTGGCAAAAATGTATTTATAGTGATTTAGTATTTTGTATGGAAGTCAAAATACCACTTTTTCATTTCAATTTCACTATGTTTGACACAAATTATATACTATTACTAGTGACACGCATCTACAATGTGCTAAATCCATAACTACAAATATAAAACACTTATTTGCCTTTCCACAGAAAGAAAAAATAGCTTAATTTTTTGACAATATTCTCAATTTTTGCTACAGAGAAGAGCTAAAATTGCTGTTTTAAGAGATAGGTCATTGAACAATAATTGATAATGAAAAATGTAAAAAGATAAAATATTACAACTTTTTGACTCTCTTTATTAACAGCACATTTATAATACATTAAAAGGGATATTTATAGAATTCTCCACAAGTCATGTGGGTTATTGGTTATTTACATGAACTAAAATATACAATTGAAAACAAGACAAAATCTTTTATTATTTTGACTTTGACCTGTACACCCACAATTAACACTTACCTGAAATATCTTTGCTTATGGACAGATCCTCAATTTCAACTTGTTCCAAACTCTTCAGATAGGGGTTTAGAGGTTCCGAGACCTCTTTATGCATGGTCACATCCCCCATCCATTTTATATCATCCCCATCAGCTCCAGTCTCGTACAGTAAACCTTCCTGCTTCAGTGTCTTTAAACTTCCCTATTAATATACATGGAAGCCAAAATTAATAATTTTGTTCATGGTCCCGGGTAAAAAAAGCAGGTATGTTGGTATATGATATGCACAAGAATTTTCTTGATATGCGTGAAAATTTTGTTGTTGATATGCACTATGATACGAGGAGTACCTATTGGACGTTTAAGGGACTTGGAAATGGAAGGTGCCGGGCTGGAATTTAAGAATTTAAAATGAATTTACCTTTTTAATTTATTAATATCTAATTTTTAATGTAATACATGGGGCATAACAACTATATAGGCACGAAATTTCTTTATTTATTTCTTCATTTATTTTTTATAAAACATGATCAATATTTCAAAGTAAAGATTTTGTAAAGGCGTAATGTAATAAAATACGGGTCAGGACAGAGGCCAAGGGCCACCCAAAAATGAACTCATTTTTTGGTTCGAATAAATGAAGCTCTTTTTGGGGGGAAATTCATGTTACACCAATAATTTAAGCATCATACATATATAAATCATACAATGACTTAAAACTGTTTTCCCTCTATATAAACAAGAGCCCGGTTTGAGTCGGGTGATGCTCCCCGAATAGGTTTTTGACACAGGAAAGTACACCTCTTGTAGTTTCAGAGTTATGTCCCTGGAAAAGGTTCAAAGTGCAATGATTCCAAAATTAGGCAAGGCAGAGTTACTGTTCTTTGCACTGCACTTGTAATCAATGCCATCTATCAACCTACAAAGTTTCTTGTTGATACCTCTTATGGTTTCTAAGTTATGACCGGGACAAAGTTCAAAATATAAAAATGTGCAATATCTACAAAATTTGGCAAGGCGGAGGTTAAGTACTTCAGCACTGCTATCTACCCATTGAGATCTGTCTACCTACAAAGTTTCATGTTGATATATCTTATAGTTTTAGAGTTATGTCCTGGACAAGATTTTTCTAAAAGGGGAGATAATTCAAAAACTAGAGTTATGGTTCTTTGACACTGCACTCCCCTTCAATGAGATCTATCTACCTACAATATTTCATGTTGATATCTCTTATAGTTTTAGAGTTATATTCCTGGCAAAGTTCAAAGTGTTAAAATTAACAAAGGGCAATAACTCCAAAATTAGGCAAAAATGAGTTATGGTTCTTGTGCACTGCACATCTACCCATAGAGATCTATTTACCTACAAAGTTTCATGTTGATATCTCTTATAGTTTTAGAGTTATGTCTCGGACAATATTTTTCTAAAAGGAGAGATAATTTAAAAACCGGGCAAAATAGAGTTATAGTTCTTTGACACTGCACCCCCCCTCAATGAGCTCTATCTACCTACAATGTTTCATGTTGATATTTCTTAAAGTTTTGGAGTTATGTTCCGGACAAATTTCAAACTGTTAAAATTAACAAAGGGCAATAACTCAAAAATTAGGCAAAAAAGAGTTATGGTTCTTGTGCACTGCACATCTACCCATTGAGGTCTATTTAACTACAAAGTTTCATGTTGATATCTCGTAGTTTTAGAGTTATGTCCCGGACAAGATTTTTCTAAAAGGGGAGATAATTCAAAAACCGGGAAAAATAGAGTCATGGTTCTTTGACACTGCATTCACCCTCAATGCCCTCTACCATTGTATGAAGTTTAAACAAATTATCTCCAAGGGTTTTCAAGTTATGCTCAGGACAAGACAACGGACGGACAGACGGACATCCTTACATATTTGTATTCTTGTTGGGTATTTTACTGTGTAAAAAAGTACCCAACAATACATCAAAATTCAATATAAATACCCAACATAACATATGGAATGAGTAGGATTGGTAGTTGTTGGGTATTTTAAGTACCCAACATATACCCTCTCATGCCCTCAGAGAGACTGACAGACGGACGGACGGATGGACAGACAGACAAGGCGCCGACTATATGCAAATTAGGACTTCCAGACTAAATAATGCTTGTATATAGTCACACTTTAGATCTTTTCATAAACTAACAGGCAAATTTAAAATCCTGCTTACAGTTCACTAAATGCCAACGGAAGTATTTAATAATTTAATACATGTAGTTAAAAATTCAAAATTATTATCTTTTACATAGTTTATAAGATTTACTTTCAGATTTAACCAAGCAATATTGCTATTAAACTGTAACATTAAATCATTTCAATATGATTAAATACAGAATATTTCTTTTTCTAATGAGATTGAAGAAAACATCTCATGATTTTTTTAATAGCTGATAATTACAATTCGTGTAGTTAATTTATTAGAATTATTAATTTTTTTTATTAAAATCAAAACATTAATGGCAGCAACTTATTATCTGGGTCCATCAGGGAACAGTGAAGCTTTAGATCAGCTGGTACATCTGTTTGCAATTCAGCCATAATTTGAATTTGTTCCTAAGAATAATTCCTGTTTTAGTCCAGACTGAATGATAGACAAGTACATTTAAGACATTTAGTGTGGTAACGGTTAAAATTACTTTTAAATCAAATGCGACCAGTCTTGGTGTGTAGGTAACTTCTCTGTGTCTGTTCTCTCCTTCCCTGTATAACACATCATGACAAATTTCTTTTGGTCCAGATGCCTGTGATGGGCTGTAGACAAAGGAAGATTCTTGGATGTTCCACCAATGGGTGCCTTAAATAAAAGAAGTTTTTATCAGTTATAAGTTTGTTTGTTTGATCCAGTTTTACATCACACTGACACATACATGTAGGTCATATGGTGATGTTCCAGCTTTACTAGTGGAGGAAGACCTCAGGTGCCTTCCCCCGCATTATTTCAGGCACAAAGTGGTACCTGAATTAAGAACCACCGACATTGCGTGAGCTAGCTGGAAAGGTTCCTCACATGAAAGAATCCAAAGTCCCTGTTGGGATATCAGTTAAAAGACTAATACTACATGCATATACCATTATGATCTGTTTAGCTGCTAAAGCAGAAAAAAATGAATATGGATCTTAATTATTTTTAACAATTGTTGACAAAGAATGATTAAACATTTAGGGATTATGATATAAAAAATAAAACATGAAACATGGCAATGCCACAATACCAGGTTTCAATTATCACCATTGTAGATAAATGTGTTGTAGTTTAAATACAAATACAAGCAACAAACAATGTAACTATGTGCAATGTAAATAATGAAAAATGAATTTTCTATTTTTAATAATTGTAACCTTGACCCTAGGGGGCCCAAAATGCAATCCCAAGTGAGGTCTTTATAAAAGCTTACTTTACACCAAATTTCATAAAAATATCTAATTCCAAACTAGTTATTGACCGGAAACCTATTTTCTATTTTTAGTGACAGTGAACTGACTGGAAACAGATTTTCTATTTTAGCAACAATGATCGTGACCTTGACTCTACAGGACCCAAAAGTAGGCATATGAGCTGGCAGGCGTTTTATAACTGTTATAAAGTTTGTTGTGATTAAAAGGATATATTACACTAATAATAACATTTTATGGCAAAAACAAAGGGCCATAATTAGGTTAAAACTTATCCTATCACAAAACCCCGAAAATATACATCAGGGCACTTGAAGACAAAGCTAGTCTGAAAATTTGGTCAAAATCCATTTAGAAATGAAGGGGAAGTTGCGCACAGTAGAAACTGTTCAATGTATAATCTATATAAGGAAAAAAACAAAGGGCCATAATTAGGTAAAATATTATCCAATCACAAAACCGCGCCAATATGCGCAAGGGCATTCGATGACAAAGCTATTCTGTGAAAGTTTGGTCAAAATCCTTTGAGAAATGTAGGAGGAGTTGCACACAGAAGAAATTGTTCACTGTATAATCTTTATAAGGAATAAAGGCAAAGGGCCATAATTAGGTCAAATATTATCTAATCACAAAACCCCGACAATATGCGCCAGGGCACTTGATGATAAAGCTTCTGTAAAAGTTTGGTCAAAATCCGTTGAGAAATGTAGGAGGAGTTGCGCACAGAAGAAACTGTTTACGCCCTCCCGCCTGCCTGCCGAAAAGTTTTTTCCTTGGGAAAACCTGGTTAAAAAATAATTAACAGAACATTTATAAATGTTGATGCATATAGACATACCGGTACATACATTGTACATTCAACCTTATTATTTTTTATTTAAATATTTTATTTATTAATTTTTCTTTGTATTTCTTTTTTATTTGGGGGCCTTAAGTTTATAACCATGTCATGGTCATCATGATTGAAGGTCTAAAAGTTAAAACTATAATCACTTATGTGGGAGAATATGGGGAATTTGTATAAGTAGTTAGCTTGCATGCCGAATGGTATTCGGCAAGTTCAAGTTCCACCCAGGTTGCAATTTTTTTTATTCTGTGATATCTGACGCCGTTATCTTCACTTATGAGACTATAGTGACTAAATGAAGAATGAAAGGGTTATAGTAACATAACCTTGATAATGAATATAAGATAAAATCAATACAGACGAAATTCATAATACAAATCCCATTTGCCATTAATTCATTCCATTGTCAAATTTAGAAAATTTCAATTGGCTATTAGAATGCTTTACATCCCTTTGTATATTTCCAATGAGCATTAGCTTGGCCCTATATTAACTAACTTGGCAACCAAGTCATCTCTGTGCTATAAAAACTAGGCACAGGTCAACACAAGCAATATTTTATTCAAACATACAATGTATTATGTCATGTACCTTGTTATTTTGTCACTAGACACAAAGAAGAATAAATGAATAAACAAAGCCTTTTAAAGCAATAATAATAACATATTTTATTGATAATTTCCATTCTTATAATGTTTGCTTTCCATACAATGCTAAAATAATATCTCACATACAATAACAAAAAGCTTTTATCCATATCAGTTGATATAATTTTAATATAAGAAATATCAGTCAAAGACAGAAATGGCCAGATTGCATTTGTAAATCAAATATCAAGAGGCTGTGATAAGTAGTTGCTGAAAAAAAATGAAAATTTTTTACCATTAATGTTGAAAATTTAACTAACTTGGTAAACAGGAAGTGGATGAGTGACAGACTTGAAATCAAATCCCATTGCTGAGAAAAATGATATGAAATAATTTCCTACCGTTGACCATATGTGTCGAAAATTTAACTAAGTTGCTGAGAAAACTGTTACGAAAATTTTTCCCCATCCACCATCTCTGCCAGACATTCACCATATAACTTTAATATTAGTAATACTATAATATTTGTGAATTTCAAAACACTTGGCCAATTTTTGTTATTGGCAATGTTTCATGTAGAATATCTAAGTTCTAGCTTTCTTATATACAGAAAACATTTTTTTTTAGTTTTTGTTTACTACATGTACATTTTGAAATATAATTTCATGACCCCAGGGCGGGGTAAATTTTGAACCCAGAGCTATGATTTGAACAATCTTGGTCGAGTTCACTACACAATGTTTCATGCAAAATATCTAACCTCTAGCCTTTCTCAATTCAGAGAAGAATATTGTTTAAGTTTTTACTATATACATATAAAGAAAACCTATAACTCTTAGGTCACTTGGGGCAAAATTCGAGCAATTTTGGTAGAGGACTTACAGATGATATCATATAAAAAGTATCAGAGCTCTGAGCCTTGTTAAAAGAAGATTTTGAAATGTTTACTATCTGTACATATTGAAAATCAATGACCCCTGGGGCGGGTCAATTTTGACCCAAGGGCTATAAAATGAACAATCTTGGTCGAGGTCCACTACAAAACGTTTCATGCCAAATACCTAAAGTCTTTGTCCATTCAGAGCAGAATATTTTTTAGAAATTTTTACTATATACATAATTATTCATATACATGTACATGTAAATATTAGGAAAACCTCTGATCCCCTGGGGTAGGGCAAATTTTGAATCTGTCAGAGGGAAAAATTGAACAACTTTGGAAGAGGACCTTTACATGATATTATATACCAAATATCAAAGCTTTGGGCTTTGTTCTTGGACAAAAAGATTTTTTAAATTTGCACTTTTGAAACTCCTTTTCTAGCCCCGTTACCTACTTTAATATGCAACAGGAACCATTTGAACAACTTTGACCCAAGGATCATTCCTGTAAAGTTGGTTACGGTGCACTTATTGGTTTCAGAGGAGATGTTGATTAAAGCAATTGTTGATGACTCAGAACACACAATGATGCTTGACGGACAGTGAAGGGGGTCACATTATATAGCTAACCATGAGCACGTTTAACTCAGGTGAGCTATAGATACATGATAAAATAAGGCTAACTTAATAATAAACCAGAACTATCACTAAATGTGATTAATACCCCCGCAAGCAAGAAGTTATTAGTAATAGAATACCTTGCAAAAGAACTGAAAAAGAGTTATAGTTGTGGGCAATTTAAAAGATAGTTGTGGTTCTTGTATGTTGCATTTCATTTCAATGTCGTTGACCATTGATGAAGTTTAATTGAATTACTCTGTAATATGTACAAACATAGTTACGCTTCTTGAGAACTGCACTTCCTCTCATTGTGCTTGACCATTGAATTCTAAACATTAGTTTTAAAGTTATGTACCTGACAAGGAAAAGGAACAAAGTACAATAACTTGAAAATACTGAAGATGGAGTTATGGTTATTGTACACTGCACTTCCTCTCATTGCGCTTCACCATTGTATGAAGTTGTATTGAATTCCAACAACTAGTTTTCAAGTTATGCACTGGACATGGAAAGGTAACAAAGGGCAATTACTGTAATTAGTCCAAAGAGAGTTAATGTTCTTGTGCAATGCACTTCATCTCACTGCCCTTGACCATTGTATGAAGTTTCTTTGAATTCCAACCATTAATTTTCAAGTTATGCACTGGACAATAAACAAAGGGCAAAAACTTTTAAATGAGTCAAGAAAGAGTTATGGTTTCTATGCACTGCGCTTTCTCTCAATATTCTTAACGATTGTATGAAATTGTATTGAATTCCAACTAAGTACTTTTCAAGTTATGCTCTGGACAAGAAAAAAGCAATGAAACAGTAACTTCCTCTTAATGAGCTTGACAATTGTATGAAGTTGTATTGAATTCCAACTAGTAGTTTTCATGTTATGCTCCGGACAAGGAAAAGTAACAAAGGGCATTAACTCTGTTATTAATCAAGATGGAGTTATGGTTCTTATGCACTGCACTTCCTCTAAATGTGCTTGACGATTGTATGAAGTTGTATTGAATTCCAACTAGTAGTTTTCATGTTATGCTCTGGACAAGGAAAAGAAACAAAGGGCAATAACTCTGTAATTACTTTAGATAGAGTTATGGTTCTTGTGCATTGCACTTCCCCTTATTGTGCTTGACCATTGTATGGAGTTGTTTTGAATTCCAACTAGTAGTTTTTAAGTTATGCTCCGGACAAGGAAAAGTAACAAAGGGCAATAACTCTGTAATAAGTGAAAATGGAGTTATGGTTCTTGTGCACTGCACTTCCTATCAATGTGCTTGATAATTGTATACAGTTGTATTGAATTCCAACCATTAGTCTTCAAGTTATACTCCGGACAAGGAAAATGCAATGGACGGCTAGACCGACCGACCGTAATTTGTATTGTTGGCGTTTTTTGTAGATAACTAAATGTAAGAAAAAAAGAATATTAATATGTGATTCATTAAATAAACAGCAAACTCCTTGAAAAAG